ACCCAGGATCACCAGTAGAAGCCTTAATTTGCCAGTTATACAAAATGTGCCTGACATTGGGAAGTACAAAAATAGATATGACCTTTTTTCAGGGAGCTGACAATCTAATGGGGAGAAAGACGTGGGTGCACACAATACCGTTACAAAGGAAAGTGAAAAATGGTGGGTGTATATATTCAAATGTACAGATTTGAAGTTTCAATTATATAAACTATGGGAGTTGACTCCAGTCCGATAGAAATATGTATTATGAATTTGAATAATGTAACTATGTCACATGATTCCTTATTCGAACTAATCAGGACCTAGCTCTGTAAGCACAAAGGAGAGAGATATAGGCAAAGTGAGAAGTAGGAAGGAGAGGTCACTTTCACCTGGGTTGGGTGGGGATATCATGGAAGGCTTCCTGGAGAAGGTAGTACCTGAGGAGGGTCTAAAGGAGCATTTCAATAAACAGAAGTAGGGTGGAGGAGAGAGAGAAGAGTTGACTGAACTGATCACCACACAAGCACCAGGCACTGTCCTGGGTGTTGGGGGCACAAAGATATAAATAAGATGCTGCCTGTCCTCCGGAAGCTTGCACTCTGTCAAAGGAAATAACATGTGTGCGTCTTGCTGCCCCTCTTCTTCAGGTTCACAATCAACCTGAGGTGTGGGAGTGACATCGCCTTCCACCTGAACCCGAGATTTAAGGAGAATGCCGTGGTCCGGAACACCCAGATTAATTACTCTTGGGGACCTGAGGAGCGTGGTCTGCCTAGATCTATGCCCTTCGCCCGAGGCCAATCCTTCTCGGTAAAGCAGGGGGAGGGAGAGAGGGCTTGGTGGTTGGAGAATAGGTAAACCTTGAACTCCAGAGTTTCCTTCAGAACACAGTGAATTGGCAAGGAGTTTGACAATCCAAGACACTAGATAATTCATTTCCCAGGGTTGAGAGCAGATCCTTTCTAGGCTTCTGCACTCATGGGAAGATGAGAAGTAGAAAGGGCTAACCCAAGGCTAATGTGGTTCATGGAGCAAGTTCTATGTTGTCATTTGTGCCTAGAGCGACACAAAATAGCACTGGCATGACTTCAATACTACAACGATCATAGATTTCATCAGCCTAGACTCTCCCTCCGCTGTCACAGACCCATACTCAGTGGTCTCCAAGAGGTGTTGGGAGCAAAACATTAAAGCTAAGCTGAAATAAGTTTTTTCTTTAGCTATTCAGGCCCTCCAATGGTGGGCTTTAACTCACTCCATCACTGGTCCCATAGAAGCATTTCCAATTTTGGTAGGACCAGAGCTTGAGGTCTACTATCACAGATTTCAAGAAACACAGGGTCTCCTCCATGCCAACACAAGGCCTCGGAAGAGAACCAAAGTGAAGGACTTGTCGAGATGTCAAAAAGATGCCTTTAAATACTGTTTTTTATCGAGGTGAATCCTTGTAGGAGGCCCAGCACACACACAAACAAATTACACTTAGAAAATTAAGCTGAGGCTTAAATGGGACCTTCCTTAGGCCACTTCCTTTGGTAGATGAAGGAGTAATTGTCTGGCTGGGTCGTAGAAGTCACCCAGGGCAAGTTCCTCTTGTGGCAGATGGGAAGAGTAAGGCCCACACTGGGAGTCAGTGGGAGAGTTCGGAGCTGGGCAAACCCAGGTCCTCGGACCCCCAAATCTATCATTCTTTCAATCCATCACTCTTTCCATTGAATCATAAAGGAATTTCATCACCTCCAAGGACCACCCCACTCTGCTCCAAATCTGTAAGCCCATGATCCTAAAGTAGGCTCTTGTGAGGATTCCATTCTAAGCAGATTTCTGTGAAATAACATGTAATCATAACTAGCATTTATACAGCGTTTTCAGGTTTGCAAAGTGCTTTACAAATTATTATCTCATTTGATCCTCACAACACCCCTGGGAAGTAAGGGCTATTTTATTATTCCCATTTTACAGATGAGGAAACTGAGGCAGACAGGAGTTATTTTTCCCACAGTCACATGGATAGTTATCTGAGGCAAGATTTGAACTTAGGTCTTCTTGATTCCAAGGCCAGGATTCTGTCTGCTGAGCTATTTAGCTGCCTTTGTGTATGGTTAATGATCAAATCCTAATCTTCTGTTTATGATACATTCAATTATATTTATCCCATATGACTCCAGGATACTACAGCTTCTTACCATCATAATCCAATAATGACTCTCTCAGAACGCCGTGTCAGAGAAGATTTTTTTTTAAGGCAATTGGGGTTAAGTGACTTACCCAGGGTCACACAGCTAGTAAGTATCAGGTGTTTGGTCCGAGGCCAGATTTGAACTCAGGTCCTCCTGACTTCAGGGTCAGTGCTCTATCCACTGAGCCACCTAGCTGCCGCCAGAGAAGCATTTCTTCCTCATGGCCTGAGCAGACTTGAGGAAGCAACGAATGCCTTCACAGGAATGAGCAGCGGCATTGTAAAGGGATGGTGCCTCACATCTCCTCCATGTGTGTTTTGTATGGACCTATTCAATGTGCAAAGTCTCCCCTGCTACACTGTAAACTCTCTGAGGGTAGGAAGTGTTTCCTTTTTTTTTTTTAAACTTTGGATCCTCAGTGCTTAATATGGTCCTTGGAACACAGTAGGCGCTTAATCAGTGCTTATTGATTGATTGTCCTCTTGTCTTCCAGGTGCAGATTATTTGTGAAATCCACTGCCTCAAGGTGTCTGTCAACGGGCTGCACCAGTTTGACTACCAGCACCGCATAAAAAACCTAGGCTCTATCAACCAGCTGGAGGTGCTGGGAGATATCCAGCTGACCCAAGTACAGGTCTTCTGAAGGGCCTCCCACCCGGTGTCCCAGCTGGAGGTGGCTGGAGACATTCAGCTGATAACAAGGCTCTCCCACCCAGTTGTTGCAGGCTGAATCTTCTTTCCCTCCTATCCTCACTTCTCCCTAGCTGATTGGACTCTAAGCACCAAGCTTGCCCTCCACTCCCAGTCAGGGAGGAGTTGGAGTAAGATGCTCTCCTCTTTGGGGGCAGGTAGAGAAAGGACTTACCCTTGCTTCTCCCTGGGTTTCTTGTACACAGTCAGTAGGATGGAAACCTTCCTGAGGCAGGGTTGCTTACTTCGCAACAATTGCAGAACTGAGTTCACTTCCCAACCTGCATGCTGTTGCCTCTGGTGTGATATTCTGATGTTTCGATACAGAACAGAGGGTTCAGAGATCACCCCTCCTCTCACTCCAGAGCAGAGCCCCTGCCTCGACGTCTTTTCAGATTTGAGCCCCTTCCTCCTGTCTCCACCTGAAGCCAGTGGCTTCTCTCCCATCCCTTGTTCCTCTGCTGTGGCCCTATTAATATCCCCTTCATCCTTCCTGGTGCTTCTAAGACCTTGGACCTCCTCAGTGCCTTGTTACATGCCCAGAGCTTTCCCTATTCTTTGTGAAGCCCTCTGCCTCCAGGGAGTACTCTCGGATAAGCAGGAGCCAGGTGTAGCCTCCTGCCTGTCTCCACCAATTTCTGTGACAATGTCTTTTGAAGACCATGAGCCAGTACCTGCTTATTTTTTTTTTTGTACACTCCCACTCTTTCTATTTGATTCTACTTCCTGAGGGCAGGGACCACGTCTTGCCTATACTTTGTATCTCTCCACTGCCCAAACCAGATATACTCACACAGAAGGTGCTTAATAAAAAGTCTGTTATGTGGTATTGAGCTCAGAACACTTGTGATTCATTAAACTTGTGTTTAGAGGCCAGTGAGATTCTTGAGTGTGACATGGGGGTGGGTTAGGTGGGGAAAGAATTTGGGCTGGTATTTGTTTAGTACATTAGGTAAAATACTTTATATACATTCTTATTATTTTTAGGCAATTGAGGTTAAGTGACTTGCCCAGAGTCAGACAGCTAGTAAGTGTCAGGTCTCTGGCGGGATTTGAATTCAGGTCCTCCTGACTCCAGGGTCAGTGCTCTATCCACTGCGCCACCTAGCTGCCCCCACATGCATTTTTTCTTTTGAGCCTCATAACAGTCCTGGGAGGTAGGAACTATTGTCCTTACCTCTATTTTACAGATGGACAAACAAACTCAGCCAAGTGAAATGACTTGCCCTAGGTCTCACAGCTAGTATATGTCTGAGGAAGCATTTGAGCTCAGGACTTCCTGACTTTGGTCCTAGCTCCCTAATTCAGACCTGTGCTGGAGAAGAGCAGAGAGATTTGTGTTAGTCCCCTGATGCTTTTGTTAATTGGCAGAGTGATGAAATGGGAGCTTCTTGGATGGACTCAAATCTGGAAAAAGTAGAAAAAGTAGTTACCTTGAGAGCTGAAACTAAGGTATGGTACCTGGACCTTTGCCCCAGGCATTTACGACTTAGGTAGAAACAATTGAGCTCAGTACCTAGTTCGCAAGAATAATAAGACAGGAAGTTATTTGCCCTGGCTGTTGGGCCCCAGATGAGCTCTCCTTGGTACCTCTTCTCCTCACCTCTATAAGTATGCCCCTCAAATGAATTTGTCTTAGATAATGTGCCCTAGAGCATTTTGTGAAGCCAGCCTAAGGTGCACAAATTTTATTTATGGCTCTTTTGGCCAGCTCAGCATTTCAGAGGTTAAGGGTGAGGGTAAGCACATTCTTGGGCAAGGGTCTTCTTGGAAGTGAGGGCCCAAATCTATACATCACACAGTAAGGCAGGGGGAACAGAGTTTTCAGTGATGTGAGGAAGCAGGAGTGAAACTGAAAAGTCAGATGATTGATAGAGTGATGGGCTTGGAGTTGGGAAGAGCTGAATTCAAATTCGCCTTTGATACTTATTATCTGTGTAACCCTGTGAAAACCATTAACCTCTGTCTGCCTCAGTTTCCTCATCTGTAAAATGGAGATAATAATAGCTACTACTTCCCAGGGTTGTTGTGAGGATCAAATGAGATAATATTTACAAATGATTTTGCAAATTTTAAAGCAACATATAAATCTTAGCTATTATAAGAATGTTATTATTATTATTTATTTCATCTGTTATTCTGTCCTTCTGTTCTTTTCTCCCTACTTCTGCCCCAGACATAGGCTTTTACAAATGATACCCTGAGTTCAAGGTACGTTGTGCTTATAATCAGCATAAACTCAAAAAATATAGTGCGAGCCCACATCAATGTGCTTCTTTTACTAGCCAAGTCAATAATTATTAGTTCAAAGGAAAGGACCCTTAAATAGTATAGTGTGGGTAGCCAAGAAAAGTGAAGCAATTCCGTTTGGTCTGCAGTTCCTCTATCTTGTCTCTGACTGTTTTTGTATTGCAGCTCCTGTCCCCATCTACAATCTCTCTTTCTGCTGAAATAGGAAGTTTCCAAAACAGTCCTGTCTCTAACCCTGGCAAAGTTAGAGAAATAGCTAACCCAAACAATTTCCTTTACTGTTACTCTTTCCCGCACCCCAGTAACAAGCCCTATCCAGTGAAGAGGTGCCCAAACTCAACTTAAATCCCACCTAACTGAAATCTATATAAATCTTACCTGTGTGTGTAGGGAGAGGCTCCCTTGCTGGCAAACTCAATATACTGTCATTGGTTCCTAAACCTGGTACAGGTTCTGGTTTGCTCTGGCACTGATAATTTTACCCACAAAGGTAGTGACAAGAAGACTCCCCTGTATGCCTAGGGGTACATTCTCTCACAGGTTATCACATCAGTGGGGGAGGAGACACACACAAGGAATACGTGTGACCAGGGCACACGTATGGAAGGCCATATACACAAGGAATGCATATGCCCAAGGCATTCCTATGGCCAGGAACACTCACTTCTCTGACACCGCAGAGCCGTTGATGTCTTTGGTGATGTCACTAAGGAAGCTGCTGTCTCTGCCCAGATGGAGTACTTTTTCTACTTTCTTCTGTCACACTTTTCTCTGCTGGGCATCTCCATGGCTGCTGCTGATCTTCAGTTACTTCAGTTATTAATGTTATGCAAATCAACTTGGGAACTAGACTGAAAAGGCCCCAGATGGAACTGGTGACCTTTGCCTAACTTTCCACCAGCAACCAAAATTGTTCTATTCCCCACAATAAGAAGGTCAGACTAGGCAGTGTCTAAGGTCCAATCTAGTTATAATCCTATGATATGGTGCAAGGGTCTTATAATACAACCCAGCAGTAAGTGAGGTAGGGGTGAAGAGCTAGCTAATATTCCATCTCATTTCCTTGCTGGCATGTCAGGTGAAGGGTTCAGAGTAACACAAATGGTCAGAGTAGAGCTCAAGGGCTGCTGTGAGGACCCTCTTGATTGGCTCTATGCCCTGTGGGCTATAGTGGAATGAAATTATCTTTTTTTATGGACATTGAATACTACTCTGAGATTCAGAATGAGCTTTCTGGCTTGAGAAGCAGTGTGGTACAGTGGATAGGGCTCTGACTCCAAAAAACATGGAAAACAAAATAACCATGTGTCGGCCCTAGCCATGATTACAGAAAAAGCTTGCCTGTCTTTTTTATCTTCTTTTTATCTTTATCTGTGTGGTCCCTTAGTCTAAAAGGATCCAAATGTGCCTGCCCAGTCTTTGCCCAAAGGTACAACTGGGTCCTTGTGGGATGAAGACAGCCAACTCTCCATCATCTGGGGCTGGGGGAGGGGGTCAGCAGTGGACCTGGTTTAGGGGTGGTGTGAGTTCCCAGCATAGTCCTTTCTCTTCTCTGTTGCCCACCTTCACTGGCAGGTTAGCAGCAGCCACAGGTGGCAGGTGGGGCAGGAAGAGGAGATGGAGAAGGAGCCAATCTCAGTTTGTTTCCCTGGCAGCAGGCAGAGGTCAGTGGGGGCAGAAGTCAGGGGTGGGAGGAAGTGGGGGGAGGAGGTCAAATCTCCTTCCCTCTGTGGCCACAGATGATGAAGAAGTGGCCACACCCCTCTGCAGTAGCTCTAGCTGAGCTTTGCCTCAGGGATCTTGGCCTCCTCAGGTTTTGATGCTGCTGGGTCAGTTTTCACCTCATAGGGAAAGACAGCCCCAAAGATGTCTTCATGGTATCGCTTTTGGCTCTTAAAGAGAGAGACAGAGACAGAGAGAGAGAGTAAATGAGCCCCCTGGGTCAGCTGCATTAATGGGGGCAGTGGGCAATGTTGGTAGGGACAGCAAAAGTACCACAAACCCCAGTGATAAGAGAGCTTTTTGACATAACAAATTTCAGTTTACAGAACAATGGTCCCAAGAAGGAGGAAGTGCAAGGCTTATTACAGCAAGAGAGCTGGGGGAGAGTCAGAGGACCTGGGTTCAGATCCAGCCTCTGCTCTTTACTAGCTCTACGGCTTTGGCCTCTCTGATGACAAGGGAGTTGGATGAGATGGCCTGCAAGGTTCCTTCCAGTTTCCTCCCATTCCCTTGTATTTCTATAGCGACTCTCTTTGAGAGAGCCCTCAAAACATTTTGTTTCCTCTCTGAAATGAGGGAGGGGCAGGAGGGTGGAAGAGAGAAATTTCTCTTCCTATTTTATAGCTGAGAAAGTAAAAGTGCTTCATTGCAGGTCACAAAGCAAGCTAGTAACATAATTCATCTAAGCCCCCAAGTTGCTGGGGTTGTCATCATTTGCCCAGCATTCTGGGCATGGGCCCTACCTTGAGTTGGAAGAAATAGTTCTCAGTCTGCTCTTCGTCCATCTTCAGTCTATTGGCAGAGAGATCCTTCAGAGTCTGGGCCACGTCCTGGGCCATCCTCACATCCCCACAGACATACAGGTGCCCCTTGTCCTCATGTAGTGCCCGGATCACCTCATCTGCCAAGCTCTGCCTCAGGATATCCTGAACATAGACCTGGGAAGGAATTGTAGTAATTTAAAAAGAATGGTTTGCTTCCAGGACAGGTGCCACTTGGATTTGATCTTGCCCTTCTAGACACCCTTTCAGCTGGAGTCTGTTTCCCTAATGTGGCTCGCTCATCCCCAAACAGCTGCTGCAGAAGGACATGGTGGCAACCATGGACTTGATGGTAAGTTCCCTAGGGGTAAGGACTGAGTCTTTACTATTCTTATATAAAAGGAATTCCAAAAGTCTTGTTACGGGTTTAAAATTATTACAACTTAAGCTTTAATAAATGAAAGTTGAAGTTTTAATAAGCTTGGGGCAGCTAGGTGGCACAGTGGATAGAGCACTGAACTTGGAATCAGGAAGACTAATCTTCACGAATTCAAATCTAGCCTCAGACATTTACTAGCCATGTGACCCTGGGCAAGTCACTTCACTCTGTTTGCCTCAGTTTCCTTATCTGTAAAATGAGCTGGAGAAAGAAATGGCAAACTATTTCGGTATCTTTGCCAAGAAAACCCCCTACGGGGTCATGACGGGCTGGACAGGACCAAAGCAATTGGACAGCAACAACAGCCCCCCAAAAGTATTTAGAATAAGAAAGTCGTCCATCACCTACCCTCATCCTTGGCTGACAATAGCTTCCCCAGAGGAAGCCTCAGGGAGTCTTAGGGTCTCCATCTTCCTATCCCAGGGATTTGTTTTCCAATTCCCTTCCACATGGCCTTCCATCCCAGGATCCCCCACAACATCCCTAACCCCCACAACAGGATTTGTCTTCAAAAGTTCTGAGGGTTCATTTGGGTGCTGCTTGCCTCCAGTGCCAAAATGGCACTGCTTTACTGACATCTCCTGTGATCCCTAGCCTTCTCTAGGTACCGTGTGTGGACATAAGGATGTATAATATGCAGGCCCTGTTCTCAGGGGATTAATAGTGTGCCTGGAAATAGAAGAGTCAGCTCAACCAGTTAGATGTTGTGAAAAGTGCCCAAATGAATAATACAGACAGCAAGCACTCTGTGGAGGTAGAGACAGTGTGACACAGTGGACAGAGCTCTGGATTTGGAGTTAAGGGGACCTGGGTTTGAAACCTGCTTCTGTCATTTACTACCTAAGGACCTTTTCAGCTTTAGTTCAATGACCACCTTCCTTCAAAGCCCAGATTTGGGGTCTCCTCCTGTCCTGATCCTGCCCCAGTTATAAGGACCTCCTGCTCCTCGAAATTTCTTTGTAAGTTGCAGCCATTCTCAAACTTTTTGATCTTAGGACCCACTCTTAAAGATTATTGAGGACCACCCCAAAGAACTTTTGTTTATATGGGTTATGTCTCTCAATATTTACTGTATTAGAAATTAAAACATGAGTATTATTATGAAAATGGTTGGTTTTTTTAACCTTATGGAATCTGTGAAAGTGTCAGGTACCCTGGGGTCCTAGACTATACTTTGACAACCACTGGGATGAAGGATAAGTACTGTACTTGTGGCTTGTGAGGTTACTCTATAGAGATTTTCCTTTTCCCTCCTTCCTCCCCTTGCCCCCCCCCTTAGGACACTCTTTCTACCAACGAAGGTCTGCAACTGAAAAGGAGGGACTTGAACCCACATGTCCTTGACTTCAAACCCAGCACCATGGCCACTCCTCGGTCACACTGACCCATGTGGATTTGGAGCCAGGAAGACCTGGGTTCAAGTCCCTTCTTTGACAGATACTGACTGTATGACCCCAAGTAAATCTTTTGACCTCTTTAAGGTTAATTCCTCACCCATAAAATTAGTGGGTTGGGCTCACTGATCTCTAGGGTTTCTTCCAACACTAAATTTATGATCATACCTTTTACATTTATTGACCTATGTCCATATCGTGGCCCCTATCTCCATAAACAGAAGGTAAAGTGTCATGTCCTCCACTGTCCCATATTCTTCTCCCCACCTTCTGGCCCCACTCACAGACCGGTCCCCCATACTTCCTTCCCCTTGAACCACTACCAGGTTGTACTTTGATCAGTTTCTGTCTCTCAGTTGAAGCTTCCCTTTGCACAGCTCAGGCAGTTCTGACTGAAAAACTCCAGCAGCAGCAGCAGTAGTAGCAACAGCAGTAGTAGTAGTAGTGGTGGTATTAGTGGTAGTAGTAGTAGTAGTAGTAGTAGTAGTAGTAGTAGTGGTAGTAGTAGTGGTAGTAGTAGCAGCAGCAGCAGTATGAACTTCAGGAGTGGCCAGCTCCTCTACCTGAGCCCTGTGAGTCTACCTGGAGTGGGCACCGTGATGGAGGGTAGTGGGGAGGGCTACTTCCATGACCCTGTGAGGAGTCAGCTCTGGAGACATGGACCTAGGGATATTAGAATAAACAGCCAGGGGAGAATGCTTTGTTTTGTTTGCATTTTGGAGGGAGGGGCTATCAGGGAGCCAGGTAGAATGTGAGTACTGGGTCTCATATTTGCTTTCCATGGTCTACATTGTGACCCCATCTCTGAAACAGTGGCTGCTTGATACCAGGGTTTTTGGAAGCTGAGAGTAGACAGTGGGCAGCAGGGATCCTCTGAACCTTTGAATCACAGCCTTGAGATAGAGAGAGGTCAATAAACTTGCTCAAGGTCACACAGGTAATAAGGGACAGAGCTGCCATAGGAACCGAACTCAGGTCCTCTGACTCCATGCCCATCCTTCCGTCCATTGCTCTACGCTGTCTGTATGCAGGGATAAGGGTGCTGGACTCGGGATTAGAAAGATCTAGGTTCAAGTTCCACCACTGACACACATTGACTATATGACCCAGGGCAAGTCCCTTCACTCACGAAGCTCCCCAAAACCTATCTCCTGAGACTTAGGGCCTAAGTCATAGATGGGTAGCATAGATGGAAAGAGTTCCCATGGATTTTTCCCATATTTGTATCCCCAAATCCAACCTGTGAGATGGGCAGCATAAAACATAGGACCCTAGTTTCTGAGCTGGCGGGGGTATTTCAGGTCGTCTAGAAAAAACTCTCATTTACTTCTGGAAAATGAGACCCAGAACAGTGACTTATTCAGGGTCACCTGGCTAGTAAGGGTTGGGGCTATTATTGAACCCCAGATCTTCCTTAATCTAGTTCCAGCTTGTTTTTCTCCATATAATCTCCCTACTCTGGTCTTCCCTTGTCACTCCCCTCTGTGTGGACTTGAGTATGGGAAGAGCCCTAAAAGCAGCCCAGCTTAGGCTAGATCTGCTCCCAGCCCTATGAGGTGGATGAGACAGATCTTGTTACTTATTTGCAAATGTAGAAACTGAAGATCTGAAGAATTAGGATTTGCCTAAAGCTATCTAAGTAAAAATGGTAGAATAAGGACTGGAACCTATTTGTAGCAAAAATTCTCCCTCTCCCCTTAAAAATAACCCTATCTGGATGCCAGGAGTATTTATAATACCCACCCTTTAAGTTCTTGGTTTCCTTCCATTCCAGCTAAAATCCTACCTTCTACAGGAAACCTTTCCCAATCCCTCAATTCTAGTGCCTCTCCTTTCTTGGTTATTTCCTATTTATCCAGTATATAGTTTGCTCTGTATATATTTGCATATTATCTCCCCCATAAGCTTCTTGAAGGCAGGGACTATCTTTTGTCTCTTTTTTATACCTCAGGTGCTTGGCACAGTGCCTGACACACAGTGGACACTTCATAAATGCTTATGAACCGACTGACATTGGACTTTAGAAAGGCAGATGTTGAGACTGTGATAAGATGAGATGGAACCTACCCTTTCTTGGTGGCTTTGGTCAGAAGGCCTGGATGGGTGATGTTAGGGGAGGGTATTTATGTGAAGATATAGAAGAGATTTTTTTTTCTACAGGGAGGGCAGAGCTTAAATTAAAATGTGAGAAATTTGAAGGGGAAATCGCAAAATGATTTGGGGTAGATTGCTGAGTTGACTGGCAGTCTTCAGAAAGACCAGTCTGTGTTTCATTTAGGATTCATCCTAATTCACCAGAAGCCAGTTAGCAACTTAAAAAAAAAAAGCTGGCTTTCTAGCAGGAAATAGCTGCTTATGAGAAGTTTGTCCCAGTAGGGGAGAGGGAGTGGAGTTTGCAGAAGAGACAATTGATGAACACGTGCCCTTTGATCCAGTGACACGGGCCATCTGGCTGTTGCTCTGGTCATTCTCTCTGGCTGTCCTTCATGCCATTTGTCTTTTCATTGATTTCTTTTTGTGTCCTTCTGTGTCTGCTCTTTTTTGAATGTTACATTTTAAAAAATTAATTTATTTTGATTTATCAACATTCACTTCCATAAGCTTTTGAGTTTTAAATTTTTCTCCCCCTCTCTAAGACAGTGCACAATCTAATATAGGCTCTACATATACATTCCTGTTAAACATATTTTCACATCAGTGATGTTGTAAGAATTAGAACCAATAGGAGGAACCACCAGAAAGAGGAAACAAAACACAGCAGAAGAAAAAAATAGCAAATAGTATGCTTCAATCTGCATTCAAACTCTACAGTTCTTTCTTTGGATGTGGATAGCATTTTCCATCATGAGACCTTTGGAGATGTCTTAGATCCTTGCATTGCTGAGAAGAGCTAAGTCTATCAAAGTCAGTCATCTCACAACGTGGCTGTTACTGTGTACGACGTTCTCCTGGTTCATTCAGCATCAGTCCATAGGAGTCTTTCCAGGTTTTTCTGAAGTCTGCCTGTTCATCATTTCTTATGGCACATTAGTATTCCATCACATTCATATAACACAACTTGTTGAACATTACATTTAATGAGGTAGTGCCAGCATTGCCCTGTTTTGGGCCATTTGTGTTCTTCTGTTTGTCGAGGACCACAGGTGAGCAGGACTCTGACCCTGCTGGCTGTATAAGCCCTCTCAGGTGAGGAGCTTGCTCCTTGGCCTGAATCGGTTCTCCACTCCCCAAAAGAAGGGCGACTAGGCAAGCTCAACCATAAACAATGTTGCGAGCTCGAGCACAGCTAGCTCTAGCACACACGTGTATCAAGTATTGCTAGTTCACGTATCAAGTATTGGGACATTCCGGGAACGAGAAGTACATGGTGTTTTCACGGAAACAGCACGGGAGAAGGACACGGCCGGGAGAATGTTGCATAAAGATGGGCTTGTTGTTCCCGGAATGTCCCAATACTTGATACATGAACTAGCAATGCTTGATACATGTTTGTGCTCTGCTCACTTCTCTTCGGGCCAAGCACACCCCAGAGATCTGTGAGACCTGGGGTGTGGACGGTGAGACAGGCACCTTGGTGGACATGAAGGAGTTGGGCATCTGGGAGCCACTTGCTGTGAAGCAGCAGATCTACAAAACCGCAGTAGAGATGGCCGTCCTCCTACTTCGGACTGATGACATTGTCTCAGGCCACAAAAAGAAGGGTGCGGATCAGAATCAGTCGGGGGGTAACCCTGATGCTGGGCAAGAGTGAGCTGGCAACACAAGTGTCACTGAGGTGACAGCCCACAGGACCAGCAGGTTTTCTCCATCCTTTTCCCGAGCCAGGCTGCCAGGGATGTCCCGGTGGAAATTAGGTTGAGAGGCCTCTCTCAGCCTCTTTCTGCCCCAGTTCAGTTTGCAGAAGGCACTGACAAGTTTCTCGCTTTTAGATTCTCCCCGTCACTTTGTTCTGTTTGTCTGTGTCTGTGCGAATGATGCTCTGTGATTAATGTCTGTCTTCCAAACTCTTCGGATAGCTGTGATATTGGCCCGCATGAGGTAGTGCCGGGGGCCAGCTGTGAGCTGTGTTGAGTTGGGGCAGCTGACCAGCAGCGAAGTCTGCGAAAGAGTTCTTAAAAGGGTTCTTGACTGAAGACTGTGAGGCAAACACGAAAGAGACGGGACTCCAAGCGTGACGGAAAACGGAGTCAACTTTATTAGCGCACGGCAGGCAGTTTTATATCATTGGGGAACATACCCCAATGTAACAGCGGACAAAGCAACAAAATTTACATATCTTTACCAGCAGGCAACACCGAGGATTTTTCTCATAGGAATACCAATCAAAGTATCAATGAGCACATCTCTTTGCAACATTCTCCTGGCTGTGTCCTTCTCCCGTGCCAATCCCGTGAAAACACCATGTACTTCTGTTCCCGGAATGTCCCAATGCTTGATACGTGAACTAGCAATGCTTGATACACGTGTGTGCTAGAGCTAGCTGTGCTCGAGCCAGCAACATTGTTTATGGTTGAGCTTGCCTAGCCGCCCTTCTTTCTGGGGAGTGGAGAACCGATTCAGGCCAAGGAGCAAGCTCCTCACCTGAGAGGGCTTATACAGCCAGCAGGGTCAGAGTCCTGCTCACCTGTGGTCCTCTACACTGTTCTGTGAAAATATTTTATTAATACTTTTTTTTCCATCATTATGGCCCCTCACTCTCCCCCTTCCCAAATGAAAGCCGTTGTGTAACAAACCGGCATAATCAAAATAAATTTGCCTTGCCTTAGTCGTGCCTGGAATTATCTCATTCTGCACCTACGATCCATCTCTTCTCCAGCAATTAAGGTCTTTGTATTTTTAAGAGTTCTTAAGTCTTTCAAAGCTGTTTTTCATTCCATTGGTTAAGGCTGAAATGCAGGACAGCCTCTTCGTCTTTTTGACATTGCTGCAGGTCTGTCTCTCTGCCGACTGCAAGCCTACAACCGAGGGGGCTGGGGTTGGAATTGTTTTTGTCTTTGTGTGGGACAATGGCCACACTAGAATTAAAAGTTTCGAGGCTGAGTCAGAGATCAGAAAAGGTTTTATTCTTTCTCATGAGAAAGGGCACAGCCCTCATCGCTCAAGCAGTGACAGCTGGAGAGTGCAAAGTCTGTTAGTAGGAAACAAAGTCTTATAGTCCTAATGCGATACCCCCTCCCCATTGCTGAATCCTTCTTCCCATTGGCTGGTTTTCAGGGTGCACAATCTAAACGCGGGTTTCTAAGACCCTTAGTACAATAATATCCTTGTTTGGAAATATTTACCTAGAGACAAAGGCTCGGGAAGACTTTTGATAATCTACTTAGAAGTTCTACCCAGAGACAAAGGATCTGGAAGACTTTCCCTAACGGTTTAGAAGTTTTGCCTAGACACAGATAAGCAGCAAGCCCCTGGTGGTTAGCTAGCAGTCTTTTGCAATTTTTACCTTGCTAGAGGAATTGGAGCACAGATTAGCACTTGCTTAATGCACAGCAAATGTTTGCAGATTCATCAAGTTTTACTGCTTTGGGGGTACAAAGGGAATTTATGAGTTTTAGTACTGAGGAAACTTCATCTATCTCACTCATCTTGGTGGTCTAGAACTTAGCTATATCTCTCCTCCTCTTCTCTGCAGCTTGTGCCCTTCTTTGAATCTATTTGAGGTGGACTGCAGGATGGACTTGAGGTCACTGTCAATGGGATGGTCCTTTCTTCCACTGAGAATGGGTACTGTTTGTGTTTGCCTATCTTTTTTAATTAATCAGCCTTTATTTTCTCTTCCTCCTACTTCCTCCCCTGCCCCTCACTGGAAAAATAAAAATAAAAACAAAACTCTTGTTAAAAAAAAAATGTGCAGAGCCAAGCAAAACAAATTCCCCTGTTGGCTATATTCAGAAATATTTGTCTTATTCTCTGCAGATCAGGGCACCCATCAGCAGGTGCAAGCACAGTCAGCCAGGCAGGCTGTGGCTTAAGAAAGGTCCAGAACTATCCCTAAGCAATTGCTTTTGTTTCCTGAAGTTGTTCCACTGGACTTCAGGGTGTTAACAGGTCCAAAGGTCAGAGAATCATTTATGATGATGATAACCTGCCCTGTCCCCTGCAAGACGAGGGCTTAGGGCTGTGGTCCCAAGCCAGGAAACAGTTTTTCATCTCAACTTAACAAACTTATCTAAAGCGCCTATTATGTGTAAGGCACCCAAGCTAGGAACTTTGGATACAGAGTTTTTAAGAAGTCTCTCCTCTCAAAGAATTTCCTTTCTATGCAGAGAGAGAAGAGGAAGGAACTATAAGCACACAGAGCTGAGTAAATACAAGATAGGGTGTAAGGAAGGCAAAGGAAGAAATTCAGATAAAGCCAGATAGACGCTGAAGCTGAAGCTTAAATACTTTGGACATCTAATGGAAAGATGGGACTCATGGGAAAAGACCCTGATGTTGGGAAAGATTGAAGGCAAAAGGAAAAGGGGACAGCAGAGGATGAGATGGATAGATAGTGTTACAGAAGCATGAGCTTAGACAGACTTGGAGACATAGTGGAGGATAGAAGGGCCTGGTGTGCTGTGGTCCATGGGGTCACGAACAGGACTGAACAACAAACAATAGAGTCTGACTTAGGGATGAGGAAATTCCCACTATCAATACAGGGAAACAACTTCTCTGCAATTTATGGTTTTAGACTTGCAGGGAGTTCTTAACCTAGGATCTATGAACTTGGTTTTTAAAATATTTTGATAACTGTTTCAATGGAATTGGTTTCCATTGTAATTTTGAGCATTTTTAAAACTTTATTTAAAAACTCTTCTGAGAAGGAGTCTGTGCCAGACTGCTGCCAAAGGGGTCCAGGACACACAAAAAGAGGTTGAAATCCTCTTTGGCTCAGAGAATTGCTTCCAGTTTAAGTGACTAATGGGTGACCAATGGGTGTTAGAAGCAGGACTTGTCTTTGTAGCTGTGAGGCAGGCTTCATGGCCACTCAAGAAATATTTGAGGAGGAAGAGAAACCTGATGAAGAAGTGTGGAGGTTTAGGAAGACTGTCTGGTGCAGGGGGCGTCTCTGCTGATCCTTGAAGTGAGAAGATAAAGATTCTGAAAAGTGGTAATTAAGAGGCATCCATTCCAGGCATGGAGAGCAGTCTGTGAGTGAATGCCCAGAACTGAATGGAAATGGAAAAAGATGGTATTTTCTCTAGTAAACTTTGCCTGACTCCTGCCCCATGTAGAATAAAACTTGGAAATTTAGTCTCATTATTAGTCTACTGTAAAATCCATGAGGGAAGCCACCACATGCAAACTAAATTTTGTATTTCTGCCAGCATCTAGTTTTGTGCTCTGCACACAGTTGGTGGTAAATAAATTATTTCTTCACTCTAATTAGCAATCTAATCTACTGAGCTATTAGCCCTGGGCTAACCACCTACATATATTGAGGACATGAATCCAGAAATATACCACCTTTCCATAAGGGAAAGAAACTATTTCTGTGTCATCAAATCAACCCCCCAAGACAACATTTACTGAACCCTGGCCATACGGCCCAAGTCCCCTAGAGGAGGAGGCACTGGGGAGCCATGGAAAGGCTGCTGGGTCTCAGTGCTGGGAGTCAGAAGACGTGTGTTGAAATCCCTGCTTGGCACTTAACTGTGTGTCCCGGAACAAGCCACTGCTTTTTGTTGAGCCTCCAGATTCTTCCTCTATAAAAGGGAGTTGATATCTCTCCTAGCTCTATATGTGTGATCCCAAGAGTAAGTTTGGGCTAGGTGGCACAGTGGATAGAGCGCAGGGTATGGAATCGGAAAGACTCATCTTCCTCAGTTCAAATCTGGCTTCAGACAGTTACTTTCCTTCTCCAGCTCATTTTACAGATAAGGAAACTGAGGCAAACAGGATTAAGTGACTTGCCCAAGGTCACACAGCTAGTGAGTGTCTGAGACCAGATTTAAACTCAGATCTTTCTGATTTCATGTTCAGTGCTCTATCTACTGCACTACCTAGCTGCCTTCTAGGACTATCAATCATTAGTTAATAACTGAGGGAGAGATAGGGAGTCAAACCACTCCTGGACTATGTTCTATGTGGATTTTCCGTGTGGGACCAGTGGAAATGACATCACCTTTCATTTCAACCCTCGGTTTCAAGATGGTGGCTACGTAGTGTGCAACACAAAGCAGAATGGTTGGTGGGGGAATGAGGAGAGGAAGATGCATATGACTTTCCAGAAGGGGGAACCTTTTGAAATTTGTTTTTGGGTCCGGAGTATAGCCTTCAAAGTAAGTAAAACAGCCTTTCAAAGTTGTTTCCCTTAGAGAAATAATAGGGTAATGTAGTGAGGAAAGATCTTAGGGATACAAGTCAGAGTGGCTGGGACCTTCCCCACCAAAAAAAAAAAAATCAATTTTGGAAGTACAAGATGGTAAAGGCATGGTTAAGCTGTAGTTTGTCTGAGAAAGATCTGGGGACCTTAGTGGACTGAAAGCTTAACTTGAAAGCCCAACAATATGACATGGAAGCCAGGAAATCGAATGTAATCTCAGGCTGTATTTAAAAGCAGCAAGGCTTATAGGAATAAGGAAGTGATAGTTCTGTAGAACTGCCTGCTCTGTTCAGTTCATGTCTGGAGTATTAAGTTTAGTTCTTTTCACTTCTCTCCCCAGTTGCTCAACCTCCTCAAATGCCATGACCTCCAATTCACCCTGGCCAGTCACACTTGAGATGTTACCATCACCCACAAGCATGCTGAGGTGGGGATGGGAGAGAGATGAGCAGGGTGACAGTCAAGAAGATGGCAGGAGTGTATTGTTTGTGCAATGTAAATGGAGACGATCTTTGGGTGACTCACCATTTGGGTTCATCCATGGCATCGATGCTATCCATTGGCTTGGATGATGGAGGCTTAATCACACTTTTCCTTTCAGTAGTAGGCCTGCAAGCCAGAGCGGTTCATAGGGCCTGAAGGAATGATGAGAGTGGTATTGGGTGGAGGTAGACCCAACCTCAAGGGCTCACCATTGTGGCTCCCAGTGTCCCACTGGATTTCTTGCTAATGAAGCTTCTTCCTGTTGGCAGGTGTCTATGAATGGGAACCCCCTTGTCCAGTATCAGCACCAGATGCCTTTCCAATGTGTGGACACCATTATAATTGATGGCATAGTGCACCTGGCCTACATCAACTTCCAGGTGAGAACAAGTGACATCAGGCTCCTCCATCATCTCTTTTCCCTGTCCAAGCTGAGAGCCCACTGGGCAGTACCCCTTACTACCAGTACTCATTGACCTATGTATTTCAGCACTGAGTTTGGGGCTGTAGTGTGGCCAGAGAGAGTTCCCTACCAAATTTTTCCAGCTCCATCAATTGGCTCCATAGCAAACACTGATAGTGTCCGAGGCTGGATTTGAACTCAGGAAGATGTGTCTTCCTGACTTCAAGCCAGGCACTCTATGTACTATGTACATATGTACAGCCCCCTAGCTGCTCCAGATTCCATTCCAATTGAAAGATACAGTTACGTTATCCATGTCAATTTGATCCGAAAGAACAGTAAGTCAGATAGGTCTGTTACAATGAGGAAGTCACTGAGCTGAAGAGAGGGGGCATTAGTCAATGAGTCACCTCTCACCTCTGACACTTACCTGTGTGACCTTGGACAAGTCATTTTACAGATGAAGACCCTGATGTTCAGGGAGGAGAAGTAATTTGCCAAAGGTCACTTAAGTTATTGTCAGAGGTGGGATTTGAACCCAGGTCCTCTGACTCATATCCCATATTCTGTTCTCTTTGACAGGAATCCTCTTTCCCATCTGAATCATTCTCAGAACAGAAATATGTAGGTTTTTCTGTGTGTAAGGAAGTGTGTGTGTGTGTGTGTGTGTGTATGTGTGTGTGTGTGTGTGTGTGTGTAGGGTAGAATCCCCGGTGACCTTGGACTCAGAAAGTCAAAGACGGGTCCAGACTTGGAAATGATACAGGGGATTCACACAGCAGGGTGGCCGTGGGGGAATGAATAGTAGGGGGGCGTCCACCTCATGCTTCCACTTTCCTGGCCCTAAACCCCTCCTGTGAGCCCACCACACGACCATTTTCCTCTGGTCTTTTGTTGTCCAGGTTGTTTGTCTTTTTGTCATCCTTTTCTAGAAGGTACTACCTTGTTTCCCACCTCCCTGCCTATATCCTGGGCTACAAATTTCCAGACTTATTTCTCAAGGCAGCAGTAGTGTCTTTATCACTGCTTAATACCTGGTGCCTTCTGTTTTCTTGAAGACCTTACCTTTCTGTGCCTCGATTTGCAGGGGACTCTGTCTAGCCAGACATGCTTGTGTTTGGCTCTGTCCTGCCTTCCGCTGACCGGTAACTCACAGGCAGAGTCATTGTCCTGAGTTCCCAGGTTTATAAAGGTCCCAACCCCTTCATGAATCCTAAGCAAAAGAGAACAGCAGGGTTGGTTTTTCTGCCAGATAGCAAAGGGAAGACATTCTTGAGTCATCCTGAATTATTCAGCAAAAATAATTCAACAAATGTTAAATGCCAACTAAGTCCAGGGCAGCATAATATAGTAGATAGAGCATTGGCCTTGGAATCAGGAACACCTGGGTTCTGTTCCTTCTGATACATACTGGCTGTGTGACCCTGGGCAAGTCACTGCACTGATCAGTTTCTCAGACATCTGTCGAAGATAGAAAGTTGCAGAGAAGCTGCTGCTCTCCATTTGTTCTCCATTTGTAGATGGACAAACCTGTCCTTCAGGTTTGTAATCAACTGAGAAGTGGGAATGACATCACCTTCCACCTGAACCCACAATTTCAAGAGAATACTGTAATCCGGAACAGTCAGATCACTGGCTCGTGGGGACCTGAGGAGCATGATTATGCCCTTTATCAGAGGCCAGACCTTCATGGTAAGGCATGAGGATGGGGAGGGGGCTTGGGTGGTATAGGAGAGGGAGATAAACCTTGAACTTCAGTGGTACTGCTACAGAGTACTGTGAGCTATGTAAAGGCCTTCAGTAAGTCAGGGTTTTTCATTTTCTAGAGTCCTTCCCTGGAAAGACCCTTTCAGGGATGAGAAAAATTCCTCCCAGGCCTCTGTACCTTTAGGGAAAGTGATGATTTCATTGGTAAGATCAGGCATAGGGGAGCTTCTAGCCCTGATTTATGGGGCAAATACTGAGAAGTGAGCAAATTTATACCTAGAATGACAAAGAATGACCCTAGCATGACTTCAGTACTACAATGTTCAGGGATTTCTTCAGCTTGGACTTCCCTCCACTGACACGGATCATATAACCAGCAGTCTTGAATTGGTGCTAAAGTGTTGTTCTCCTGAGCTGGTGTTTATAGAGTGCTTTAAAGTTAAGAATGTGCTCTCCTGCCCACAACTGTGGGTGGTAGGTCTTGAAAACATTACTAAAGAAAGCCAGTATGGCTAAGTGGGAAGGGCACTGTACCCAGAGCCAGGGAAAGCTCTCTGCAAATCCCATCTCTAACATTTACTAATTGTGTGACCATAGGTAAATCGTGTGATGTCTCTGAACTTCAGGTACCTTCTCTATAAAAAGGAGAAGGTAATAATGCCTATGTAGCCCTCTCGTAAGTAGTTGAGGAAACTCAGATGAGAGAATGCATCTAGGTACTTCATCCACTTTAAAGCATGGTTTGCATGTTAGCTATTATTATCTAGAGAGGAGGTGTGTCTATAGTGGATAGAGAGCCAGACTTAGAGTCAGGAAGAACTGGGTTAAAGTCCTGCTGGGAAGCCCTGGGGATGTCATTCATCATGTCGATGCTCCTGGGAAAGTCTCCCTGACTGCTTATAGGCAGAAGTGTACTGGTACAAGGAGTTTCCACAGGAAATTGCCTTTATCAGTGAAATCACAGGTTCATTTGAAGAGATTGAAGATCAGAAAAGTGAAACCACGCCAATTTAGGTCTCTCTTTTTCTGAGCCCTGCACAGAGGGTGGCCTGAAAGGCCTGTCTCCTTGTTTTCCAGGTGTGGATCACCTGTGAAGCCCACTGCTTCAAGGTAACTGTCAACGGGCAGCACCTGTTCAGTTACAACCACCGAGTGAAGAACCTGCCATCTATCAATGACCTGGAAGTGGCTGGAGACATCCACCTGATTCACATCCAGATCTAACAAAGCGTCTTCCGTCCGCCTGTACGAGCCCAAATCTGCCCCTGTTTTCCCCACCACCCTTCACTCTCCCAGGCTCATGCCCATGTACTCTAAGGATCAGGAGTTCTTGCCCTGATATCTTTCCCACTGAATGCTTAGCAAGTTGTAGTAAAGTGTACCTATTGTTCTAGGGGAAAGTGGGTCAGGGACATATCTTTATTTCACCTCAAAGGCTTAGTAAAGGACCTGGTTTGTAGTAGGTGCTTAATAAATGCTTATTGATTAATTGAAGGTCACTCCCATTCTAGTAGAATGGAGGTTCTGTGAATACAGGGACAGCTTCATTTTTCTTTGTATCTCCAATGCCTAACACAGTGCCTAGTATGCAGTAGGTGCTTAATAAATACTCAGTTGATTGAGGGTTGCTCCCATTCAAGTGGAGTGGAAGTTTGATGAGGACAGGGGCAGCTGCATTTCTCTTTGTATTTCCAATGCCTAGCACAATGCCTAGTATGCAGTAGGTGCTTAATAAATGCTTGTCAGTGGTTAGATGGATGGACAATGCCTTCCTCACAGGTAAGCTAGTAAACTGCTTTTCAAACTTTTGTTAACTTTCATTCATTTCCAACAAGCATTAATATAAAGAAAACTCGGTTGTTATTGAGAGCTCAAGGCCCATCCACCCACCTCCAAGAAACCACCACAGAGATCTTTGGCTCTTTTCCTAAGTGCAAAGTCATTTATTGGTAAAGGTAGAATCCAACTGAATCTAAGCCAGTTCCTGAAGAAAGTGGACAGTGAGAGCCCAGTCCATTTCATTCCAGCCTCCATCCTTAGTGTCGGTATAGTAACAGAAAAGAAACCCCACTTTTCAAAAATAATAGGAGACACTGTCCATTGAGAGACAAAGCCCATTTCCCAACCATACCCCAAATGTGTGCCTATGTTTCCTCTTTCCCACCCTTTTCCCTCCCTCCTCATGTTTCCATTATACAGATGCTTTGTCTTCTGTCTCATTTCTGCTTCCCCATGTAGCAGCTGCTTCTGCATTGCAGATGGAATACTGGCCCTGAACTCAGAGGACCTGTGTTCAAGAGCTCATTCTGCCCATGTGGTCTTTGGCCCTCGAGTCTCAAAATCCTCCTCTCTAAAAGGAAGGAGTTGTACTAGAGGAACCTCGAGCTTCCTTCCTAGTCTAAATAGACAATCCCATGATGCCAAGGGGCACAGGCTTCAAGAATGAGAGCTCTGTCACAAGTGAAACTGGTGCTGGTTCAGACTTAACCCAGCACCAGCTGTCAGTCCACTCAGTGCCTCCAGAGGTGTCTGTCACTCTCAGGCGTCTGGATAGTCACACAGATCACAATTATCTGGGGCTCAAAGTTAGGTGACTTACTTTTCCCAGGGTCACACAGCTAAGAAGTGTCAGAGATGGGATTTGAACCTGGGTCTTACAACATCCAAGTTCCCTATTTGTCACTTGCTTGTCTATATATGTCTAAGGGATAGGGGTAGGGAATAAACCTAGGATTCACTGATAGAGAGAGCTTTTGGTGAGTAAACTCCTTCCATCAATACAGGCTAGCACCTTCTCTTCAGCTCAGTCTGAGAAAATTGACCAGAGCAGTGAGAGGTTAAGTTACCTATCCGGCATCACACAGCAATGTATGGGTCAGAGATGGGATTTGTCTGAGTATCCAAAATTCATTTTTTAAAAATCATCTTTAGTAACCATTCTGGGTAAGCCCAAGGGGCACTTGGGAGAAGAATTTCTCCCATGTGGGGTTTGGGGGGTTTTAAATAAAGACAATATAAATAACTGTACATACTAATTGGCCTGCCTGCAGTCCCTTACAGTAGCTCGGTTCTTGGCAAGCCTGAGGATTACAGCACAACACACCCATTGTAAACAGAATAACCACATGTTGGCCCTAGCCATGATTACAGAAAAAGCTTGCCTGTCTTTTTTATCTTCTTTTTATCTTTATCTGTGTGGTCCCTTAGTCTAAAAGGATCCAAATGTGCCTGCCCAGTCTTTGCCCAAAGGTGCAACTGGGTCCTTGTGGGATGAAGACAGCCAACTCTCCATCATCTGGGGCTGGGGGAGGGGGTCAGCAGTGGACCTGGTTTAGGGGTGGTGTGAGTTCCCAGCATAGTCCTTTCTCTTCTCTGTTGCCCACCTTCACTGGCAGGTTAGCAGCAGCCACAGGTGGCAGGTGGGGCAGGAAGAGGAGATGGAGAAGGAGCCAATCTCAGTTTGTTTCCCTGGCAGCAGGCAGAGGTCAGTGGGGGCAGAAGTCAGGGGTGGGAGGAAGTGGGGGGAGGAGGTCAAATCTCCTTCCCTCTGTGGCCACAGATGATGAAGAAGTGGCCACACCCCTCTGCAGTAGCTCTAGCTGAGCTTTGCCTCAGGGATCTTGGCCTCCTCAGGTTTTGATGCTGCTGGGTCAGTTTTCACCTCATAGGGAAAGACAGCCCCAAAGATGTCTTCATGGTATCGCTTTTGGCTCTTAAAGAGAGAGACAGAGACAGAGAGAGAGAGAGAGTAAATGAGCCCCTGGGTCAGCTGCATTAATGGGGGCAGTGGGCAATGTTGGTAGGGACAGCAAAAGTACCACAAACCCCAGTGATAAGAGAGCTTTTTGACATAACAAATTTCAGTTTACAGAACAATGGTCCCAAGAAGGAGGAAGTGCAAGGCTTATTACAACAAGAGAGCTGGGGGAGAGTCAGAGGACCTGGGTTCAGATCCAGCCTCTGCTCTTTACTAGCTCTATGGCTTTGGCCTCTCTGATGACAAGGGAGTTGGATAAGATGGCCTGCAAGGTTCCTTCCAGTTTCCTCCCATTCCTTTGTATTTCTATAGCGACTCTCTTTGAGAGAGCCCTCAAAACATTTTGTTTCCTCTCTGAAATGAGGGAGGGGCAGGAGGGTGGAAAAGAGAAATTTCTCTTCCTATTTTATAGCTGAGAAAGTAAAAGTGCTTCATTGCAGGTCACAAAGCAAGCTAGTAACATAATTCATCTAAGCCCCCAAGTTGCTGGGGTTGTCATCATTTGCCCAGCATTCTGGGCATGGGCCCTACCTTGAGTTGGAAGAAATAGTTCTCAGTCTGCTCTTCATTCATCTTCAGTCTGTTGGCAAAGAGATCCTTCAGAGTCTGGGCCACATCCCGGGCCATCCTCACATCCCCACAGACGTACAGGTGCCCTTTGTCCTCATGCAGTACCCGAATCACCTCATCTGCCAAGCTCTGCCTCAGGATATCCTGAACATAGACCTGGAAACGAATCATAGCAATTTATAGAGAATGGTTTGCTTCCAGGATTTGACTTTGGATTTTACCACTGGGACCACCTATATTGGCCACTTGGATTCGACCTTGCCTTTCTAGACACCCTTTCAGCTGGAGTCTGACACACTACCTCCTTCATAGAGTTATTATGAGGAAAGTGCCAGGTGCATTTGTTTCAATGGAGTTCAAATAAAACAATTCTGAGACAAATCTTTAATCAGCTATGAAGCTTTTATACTTACTTGAACCCAATCCTCCAGATGTATCCTGGTTCTCCTAACCATGCCTGGTCAGACCACCATTTTCAAAGAGCTTCCCTGAGAGGTTGATAAGGCATGAATGACCACACCCATTTTATGGAAAGGAACACTCAGGCTCCAAGAGGGGAGGGGAGGTGACTTGGCCAACTTTACCCAACCAATCAGTGTCCATCCAACTCAGGACTTGAACTGTGTGTCCTGATCCCACTTCCTTAGAAGGGAGGGTTGGAGGAACTCCCTCCTGTTTTCCTTTACCCAGCTCTCCAGAGCAGGGCTTCTGAACCTGGGCTCTGTGAACTTGGCTTTTAAAAAGATTTGGGTGACTATATTTCAATATGATTAACTTCCTTTGTATCCTATGTGTTTTATCTGATCTATTTAAAAATGTGATTTTGGGGCTTCACCAGCTGCTGTCCAGGGAGTCCAGGCCACAAAAAAGATGAAGACCCCTTGGGCTAGTGGCCAATGCTGCTTTGCTCACGGACACATGGATGGCTGGAACTTTGAGGGCAACTTCATGCCAGGCTAGGGATGCCTGTCTAATAGGGACAGGTCTGGAGGGGGAGGGGATGGCATGGGAGTGTTGCTGATCCATAGGGTCAGAGATCTAGAGTGGGAAGGGACCTCATTGGCCCTCTAGTTCAACCCTTCATTTTAAAGAAGAGGAAACTGAGGCTCAGAGACATTAAGTAGATTTCCCAGAGCCACAGAAGCAGCTCCTCTGGTCCCAATGAAAGTATTTCTTCCATTGTATCATGCCCTGGAATATAAGGGCAATCTTTGGCATTGGATATTCATAGAAAACCCAGCTTACTTTGGACTGGCCAGGCTGGCGGGAGTAGGCTGTGTAGACATCCCGGAGCACCCCCTTCAGTGTCATCTCCTTCATCTCCTCTCGATACAGGTGGTCCATGTCTGGGTGTCGGCATCCGAACACCAAGGTCATGCTGGCGGTCTTGATACCTAAGGGAGGCAACAGGCTGCAATTACCAAGACAGGCACAAGAGGGCGCTGTGCCCTAATAAACACTGACCGAGGTCTAGAAGTTTAGAGGGTTGGATACAGTGAAATAATAGAGATTTGGCAGGAGAGGGGGAAGGAGTGTGGGAAGGGTTGCAAGGTTGAAATCCAGTTTTAAACACACACACACACACACACACACACACACACACACACACACTCTTAGAGCTGAAGGAGATCTCAGAGGCATTCTGGTCATAGATAAGGGACCTTGAAGACCATCTAATCCCATTCCTTCATTCTACAAGTGAGGAAACTGTGGCACAGAGAAATTCAGTGACTTGCCCAAGGTCACACAGGTATTATGTAGCAGAAGTAGGATTTGAATCCAGCTCTTTTGATTCTGAAGCCATTGTTCTTACGGAGTATAGGAGATGGAGAAGAAAGTAGTGACGCATGGGGGAGGGGGAGCTGGGAATGGGCAGGGACAGGAGGAGATAGGAGCTGAATGGTATGGTTGATATGAATCCCTTGAGAGTAATCGGATTCTAGAGTGTTTATCTCCACGTCGGCCTGATCCAATGCCTTGAACACAGCAGATGGATAGTAAGTGACTGCTGCTACCCTGGTTGGTGGGATAACCAGGGGTGGGGAATCTGCTGCCCTGCTTCTCTCAGGTGCTCCTGGGAAAATGGCATAGTGGAAAGAACCAGAGAGCAAGTGTGGCAAAGTGATTAGAGTGCTGGCCCTAGGGTCAGGAGACCTGGGTTCTAGTCCTGGTTCTGACTCTTACAAGCTCTGCTTCCATGGGCAAATCATCTCACCTCTCTGGGCCTCAGTCACCTCCTCTGTAAAATGGGGATAATCAGCCTCCCTCTTCCCCCACAGGCCTGTTGTGAGGAAAACACTTTGGAGTTTGTAGAAGTGTCTTTGGGACCTTTACCTTTCTTCTCTCTGTCCACCAGTCGCTGCTGCCAGAAACTTCTGAAGGGGGCAATCCCGGTACCTGGCCCCACCAGAATGCAGGGGTGGCTGGGGTTCTCTGGCAGTTGGAAGCCGCTGGCACTAAAGTTGGGGAAAATAAACTTGAGATTACAAGCTTCTCAAGGTCCATGTCCCCAGGCCATCCCTGCTATCCCTCCCTCTTTGCCTGGTTCTCCACCTCATTAAACTAAGAAAAGAGTGAAGAAGCTTGAGCTAATGTCATTGTTCTGTAACAGACAGGGGCCCCAGCCTGTCCTATAAAAATCCTAGTGAAAGAGACTAAGAAGGAGGAACGGGGGGGGGGGGGAGAGAAAGAGAGAGACAGAGAGACAGAGAAAAAGGGAGAAAGGGAGAGAGGAAGGGAGGGAAGGAGAGAGGGATAGAGTGGAAGAGAGACAGAAACAGAGAGACAGAGAGAGAGAGAAAGGGAAAGAGGTAGGGAGGGAGGTATAGACAGAGACAAAGAGAGAGGAGAGAAAGGAGACAGAGACAGACAGAGACAGAGACAGAGCCAGACAGAGAGCCACTCAGAGAGAAAGAAGGGAGAAAGGGAGGGAGGGAGAGACAGAGGGAGAGAGAGAGAGAGAGAGAGAGAGAGAGAGAGAGAGAGAGAGAGAGAGAGAGAGAGAGAGAGAGAAAAGGAAAGAGAGCACTGTGTCCATTCCTCCAGGCCTGACATCTTTGGAGGCCCTGGAGGGCTAGCACCATCCTAGGTTTCCTTCACCTGGGCCCTCAGTTCATGTCAGGGTCCTCACCTGCGTACAAAGCAGGGCACAGTCTCCTGGAGGTTCAGGTTGCTGAGCCATGTGCTGCAGACCCCGTGGTGGAGGGGGCCCTGACCATCTAAGAGAAAAGGGAGAAAGTGATCAGTGAGACAGTGGGGCTCTCTTAGCCCTTCTCACAAGGTCCAGGAGTCCAGGATGGACTGAGGTGTGCCTTGGCTCACACACTATTTCTGACCCTCCCAAGAGCACCTGCTCACCCTTTTTAGGCTTTTTTATTTGCAAGCTTCCTACTCAAAGTGATGCTGCTGACCTGCCAGAGGGAGAGCACATTACACAGTGCAAAGAACACTTGACTGCCCAGGAAGTCAGGAGAACTGGGTTTAAATCCTGCTGATACCACTTGAGCAAGAAATTTCCCATCTCTAGACTGTTTCCTTGTCTATACCATGAGGGGGTTGGACAAGATGATCTCTAGAAGTTCCTTCCAGCTCTAATATTCTCTGTCTTAACATTCTAAGTTCCAAAGTCATTTCTAGCTCTACCACTCTGTGTTCTAGGTCCCCTCTCTCTTTGGCACTCTCCATTTTAACATTCTGCGTTCTAGGTCTCCTCTCTCTTTGGCACTCTCCATTCTAACATTCAGTGTTCTCTTTGGCATTCTCTATTCTAACATTTGGCATTCTAGGTCCCTTCTGTCTCTGGATCCAGTGAAATCCCCCAGTGACCTTAAAGGCAGTGCTTATTTTTGCCTCTAATTGGCCTGCCTTTGTTCTTGGGACCCTTACTTCTGGTCCGGTAAGTGACCACAGCCACGGTCAGGTGGATCTCCTTGGGGGTGAGGTCCCGAGATGAGCTTATGGAATAGTAGCGAGGCTTCAGCAGGGGCAATTGCGTGAGCAGGAAAGTAGCTGAGATCTGGATGGAGGGAAACTCTTCCAGCACCTCCAGGAATGTGGGGCTGTTGTTAAATTTCCATTTATTGTATTCAGAGGTCTGAAATGCAAAGGTAGTGTTAGAGACTTACTGGAATTCTCCTTGGTACTGAGCAACCATTGGTCAAGGGTCCAACCATTGGAACTGTAACTAAGCCCCTGCAGTGGAAACTTTGCCTCAGGGTGCTGAAATTTAGAGGGTGCTAATGGCACCCAGATTCTATTGGTGTAGGAGGCCTTATGTCTTACCTAACTTTGCAGCTCTCCTTGGACACAAGTCTGCATATAGTGGGCACTTAATAAATTCTCAATATTTGAATTAAAATACTGTATTCTCCTCCCATAATTCTTATTAATATTACAAATCCAAAAGCATTTATTGTGAGACTATTATTGTGCTAAGTGCTGGAGACAGATACAAAGACAAAGGGCTTATATTTTACCAACCTCTTCCTAAACCTGTTTCAAAAATCCCCTTCTCCCCACTCCCATCCCCCTTAAGTACTACATAAATTCGAGCCAGGCATGAAACAACTTCTGTTCCTTTTCTCCCCCTAAGAATATCAATATTCCCTGCAGAATGTTTTAACTTCCTTCCTTCCTGCCCTTTCCACAAAAAATTAAGACTATAGTCCACCCAGGTTTTGTTTCCTGTATCTGTCCTGTCTGTGGTCTTGAACTGGATAGCTCCTGGCAAGCAGAAATTGGGTCTTTGTAAATAAAGCAACTTTGTACAAAGCCTTGTGCTTGGGCAGACTCCACTGTAGTGCCTCAAGCTCAGGGCTTCCCCTGAGCTCCCTGGTCACCCTCAGAGGGCCAAACCATGGAGCAGTGAGTCCCCCTTGGTCTCAGTCCACAACTTCTCCCTCCTGTCCCCCTGCAAAAGGGGCAAAGAGGATAGTGTCCCTGGTAGGTCATTGCTGGACATTTGCCCTGTGTCCAGTCGCTCCCTGCAGGGAAACCTATGTTATTTACTTCCTACCAATAGACAGCCCAGATTGACACTAATTGAGGAGTCCAAAAATTATGGGTAAGAAAATACACTTCATTTCCCACAGCCTCTTCACCAAGCTTCCCTCTTCTAAAGACTTTTATGGGGTACCCTAGTGCAGGGGTCTGCTCTTGGATTGGGAAAAAGTTACATCTTTATTTTCACAAATCCCTAACTAAAATTAAGCATTTCCTTCAATTATTTAAAACCATTATTCTGAGAAGGGGTCCCCAGGCTTCACCAGCCTGCTAAAGGGTCCAGAACCCAAAGAAGGTTAAGTATTTATGCCTCGGTGGAACTGATGGGTTAAAGACCAGCCCTGGGGGGTTATTCCTTTCCCTACGCTTCTAACCCTGTCCCCAATCCCATCAGCACCTGGCACAGCACCTCCAGCCGCCTCTTCTCTTCCTCTGAGGTGGTCAGTTGAGCCAACTTTCGGAGCAGCAGCTGGGTTGGGGGGGTAGTGACATCCAGGAAATACGTCAGGGCCTGGCTGAGCGAGCAGGGGGGAAGCTTCTTATCACTTATCCAGTAATCACCTGGGCAGGGGAGGAAGGAAATCTTCAGAGATGGCCAATACATGACTCACCAGAAAGCTGCTGAAGACCCGGAAGAGAGAGATAGGGCTGCTGTGGATGGGGCCATCCTGATAGGTGGGAATTAACCCCCACACTTATTAAGAGGAAGAGAAGGAAAGCTGACTTCTGCCAGATCTTAAGCCCATCACCCAGAGGGGTCTGACTTATTTCAGATGATTATCATTGAGTCGTTTCAGTAGTGTCTGACTCTCCATGACCCCTTTTGGGGTTTTCTTGGCAAAGATATGGGAGTAGTTTGCCATTTCCTTTTTCAATTCATTTGACAGATGAGGAAACTGAGGCAAACAAGGTTGAGTGACTAACTCCAGCCTGGAGCTCTATTCACTATACCATGAAGCAGGTCCAATGTCTTAAGCTTCTGACACATCCCCATGGTGTTAGGAATCTTGTTTAACACTAACTTGAAAGGAAGAAACTTTCCAGCCTGTACCCTATACGGATTTTGCTATAAAGAAAGGTTGTCCTTTGGATGAGAAGGGGATGCTACTGATCCATCACAGAATGGTGTGTTCAAGTTGTTGTTTTTTCCCTTGCGGGGGGAATTATAGGACAATTGATACGGAACTAGGAGGGACCACCAAGGGCATCTCGGTCAACACTTTCATTTTATAGATGACGATCTGGGGGTCCAGGGAAGTTGGGTCATGGAAACCTAAGTCATGCAGGTTGTGGGCAATTGGAAGTAAGATTCGAACCCAGGTCATGCTCTCTCTTCTCTTATACCATGCTGTATCCTTATTTGGGCTGAATAGCCACACTCTAATTCAGCCTTCCTTTTGACAAGTGGTCTACATTTAATAGGACAATAGGCCAGGGTCAGAGCCTTGAATAAAACAAAATTGTTTCCCCATCCATAAAGGGGAAGAATCATCATTTCTCCTGCCAATGTCATATGTAAGAGTTGAAGGTAATATGAGATAATATGATGGGAAAGTAATTTAAACCTCAAGTACTATATTTTTAAAAACCCATAATTTTATTAGTATAGGGAGCTTGCAGTAAGGAAAGTCCCTCTGTCAATGCAGTTTAAATTAAAAATAAAATAAAATAAATATTTATTAAAATAAAATAAAAAAACAAATATAATGAAATACTGTAAATTATAAATACAAAAAAGAGAGAGAGAAAGAAATGGCTCTTCAGTTTGGTCTTAGAAAGTTGTCTGGGGCCCTGACGGGTTACTTGACTTGTCCAGGGTCACACAGCCAGCAGGTATCAGAGATTGGACATGAACCCAGGATTTCTAATGCCAATGCCAGCTCTTTATCCACTAAGTCAGATAGCCTCTCTTTATTAGATATCATCAACCAGTTGAATAGAAAAAGGACTTAGTCTTTCTGCTCCCTCCCTCCCCAAATCCTTGTGAGGACCCCAAATGACTACTGAGATATGGGGCTTTGTAACTATGAAGTATTGGATAAAATGCTTGGAAAAATATGTGGTTGGTTCAGTTCAAGAGACAAGGGGTCTAGGGGATAGAGGGTTGGATTTAGAGCCAAGAATACTTGAGTTCAAACTGCATTTCTGTATGATTGTGGGGGAGTCATTTAACGTCTATATACCTTGGACAAATTCTTAGCTTTCGATGGGTTTGTCCTGATAAAGTGATTGCACAGCAGCTGCCCCCCTATGCTCAAAGATCCTTTCATTATTTACATTCAACCAGTCTATTCCCCTACTTCTCCCTGAGTCTGCTTTAAAAGCAACATGGTGCCATGGAAAGAGAGTTGAATTTGGGGTCAGGATCTAGGTTCAAATTGTGACTCTGTGTGACCTTAAAATAATGAATTTTGAGCTGCTTTCCCATTTAACATCTCATGCTATCTATCTCCCAAGAGGCAGAGGAAGGAGTGATTCCTTCCATTTTCCAGATGGGGAAACCATTTTGTTTAATTCCACGATCATAGGCTAGCCCCCTAAGCCTTGAACTGCTGTTACAAATGTAGTCCACTGGTCAGCAGGCTCACAGAGCAGGAGCGTGTAGCTAGCTTGGTCCAAACTGGGACTTAGCATGTTACAGTGGAAAGAATGAGGATTCTGGACTGAAAAGGACCCCCGCACAGCTGCCTCCTCTGATGCTTTCTCCATTGAAGGCCCCTTGTGACCTTTAGCCCTTAGCTTCATTTTATGTAAAACAAGGGCGTTGGACTCCATGACCTATGAGGTCCCTTTTAGCTTTATGTCTTTGGTCCAATGAAGACCCCAGAGAGACAGGTATCTCTTCCCCAGCTCTCTCTGATAGGCAGGGTTGTTCATAAGGGATACTCTTTCTTGTTGGCCTTTGGGGCATTTTTGCTAGAATTTTACTAGGTGCTTGTTTACAAGGCTGGTGTACCCGCCCCAGCCTGGGGAAGAGTCCCTCCCTGACTCATTTATGGCAAATGCCCAATGAAGCCTTCGGGCTGAAGAACCAGTTTAGATATCAGAGTGGCAGCAGAGAACTCTTGGGTGAGGAAGGGAGGTTGGGAAGGGACTGGTGTCTTAGATTTACCCCTTGGGAAAGAGCTTACCATTCTCACTGCGGGTTTCTAGACAGATGGATTGGTGAGGTGATGGGCCATCCTTAACTCGGTCTATAATGCCCTGAACTAGGGTGGGCTGGTTGCCAGGAAAAACCCCAAGATGCTCTCCTGGTACATAATTCAGATTCTCATTTCCTTCACAGGAAAGCTTAACGAGGAGGGTTGCTCGGCTAGGAGAGAAACGAGAAAGCCACAGTGACATCAGTAGGATTTCCTTTGTGGCCTGAGGATGGGTGGACCTCTTGGGCTCCAGTTTCCCCAGGAAATGTGCTCATCCCTTCACCCATCAACCTGACCCCCAGGTCTAGTAAAGTCAAGGAGCTACTTCCAAATACCTGATGGTTAGAGGAATGGCTGAGTCTTAGGGGTTCAGGGGGTTGCTCCCAGAAGGTGGGTGCTACTTGGACAGGTTTTAGGATTCCCAGAAAGAGCCAAAGTCCATTTACTGGTCATTTTCCCCAAGTGAGTAGCCTTGGCTCACAAGTTCTAAGAGCAGATTACCCCACCCCTACCCAGTAGAGATCTCTTCCTGAGATATTTACTGATTAATCCCTTTTATTCATATCTGTTCTCTTTATATTTATTCTGTATATATTTCTATATGTACTTGTTGCCTTTGAAGTATAAGCGTTCTGAGAATAGGGATTATTCCATTAATTTTCTTTGTAGCCCTAAGACCTAGCTCAGTGCCTTACACATAATAGGCTCTTAATAAATGTCTGTTGATTGATTAACTTGATTTCTCATTACTTTTGCTCATTAAACTCCTTTAACATCCCTTTGGAAATTCTGTTCTGTATTGGAAAGTGCTGCCCACCATACCTGGATTTGAGACTCTGCAAATTCTGTCTCGATTTGAGCCGCATGGAAAACACATTCTTGGCGTGCATACTGCTAAGGGCTGTGGTGGAAAGAAGTATAATGAATCCAGGATTTGCTTACGTGTTGCATGGGGGGAGGGACAGGGGATTATTGTCCTTTGCCTGAGTCTATTTTCTGAGGCTACTCTTAAATGAGGGATCTTGGTGGTCCCTGGGAGAAGAAGGCAGGGGACATGGAGGCTCGTTAAAGAGGCACAGGATGAATAAAGTCATCTAATCCAGAGACTGCAGATTGTCATCACAACAATTAGTGCCCTAACTCACACATCTTTACTAAAACCTTGCTAGCATTTGTCACACGGTACCAGGGGTATGCTGGAGCTAGACCAAACCCAGCTCAAGAGCTGATTGTTAATTTTTCAGTGTGAGCATTTACACCTCAGAAATAAAAAAATGTTACAAATTGGGGCTCAATTGTTTTGTTGATTGTCTTGGCTTAAGAAAGGGATGGAGAAAATAACAATGATGCAGGTTAAGCTTTAAAAGCATGTCATGTGAATATTTCTTCCTCCAGAGGGTTGGTTGTTAAACGTTTACCATGGTATGATTCTCTCCTTTCATGCTAACTCCATCACCTTTCCCTGCCTTGCCCTATCTTGAAAATGTCTTTCTTAGGGAGAGACAGTGAAAGTTCCCTGAAATGCTACCTATCATGCTCCCCTGGACCATTGATTTGGCTATTCTCACCAACATTATGCCAAGTAACCTCTAGCTAACTGGCACACGTTGGGTCCTGCGACCCTCAGTTGTGTGGCATGGACCTTCTAAAATTCCAGGACAGGGAAGGATGGAAACTCCTTGGATCCAGAGAAGCCAGGTACCTTTGTTGAGGTCCAGGGGCTGGGGATCCTGTACAAGGCGATAATTTTCAGGGTTCCAGGTTTCATTGGTAGTATACAACTTGGGGATCTGAATTGTTTGCCTGGCTTGGATGTCAAAGGTCTCACAGGCCACCTGGGACAAGAGAGGGAGAAAGATTGGCAACATTTCCTGGTTCAATGACCAGTTTTCTGGTGCAGTGGTGTTAATGAGAGGGTCAACAAACATTCATTGGGCACCTGCTATGCACTAGACACAATGAAGGAAAATAGAACTCATGCAGATGAGCAAAGAGATGGGAGAATGATCCTTTCTGGAAAAGAGAAGGCCAGAGAGGAGGAGAAGAATGATGAGTGTCATGAGAAGGATCAATAGAGATTCCAGGCTTTGGGGAGCATATGGTGGAGCTGTATTGTACACACCTGAAAAATTAAATATTAGTACAAGGATTAAAAAATGACAGAACATATGTCACATGTCAGGACAGGACAGAACTAAGTGAATAGAACCAGGGTGGTCCTATAGGAATTCAGAGGAAAGGAGCTCAGCTACTAGGGATTGTCAGGGAACGTTTCCCAGATCAATTAAAAAGTTATTTATTAGGTACCTACTATGTGCCTGGCACTGTGCTCCAGCACTGGGGATTCAAAGATTAAGAAAGAACAGCCCCTGCCTTCAATAAGCTTCTATCACAGATTTGAGGTAGGCCTTAAAGAATGAGAAAGGGAGGTTATTCCAGGCAAAGGAAATAGTGTCAGCAGAGGCATGGAACTGGGAACTGTGAGGTATATTTGGTAGACACTATGATTCTGACTTCCAGTTCAAATACAGAACATAATTAGGAGGACTAGAGTATTTGCATTTAAATTTAGACAATTTTATGATTCAATATAAGGGGAAAAAAACCTCCAAGGTATTGAAAGTGGAATGGATTACTTCAAAAGAGAGTGAATTCCCCATTACTGGAGGCCTTTAAGTAGAGGTGCCATTTGCTGAGGATGGCCATGAGAGATCTTATTCCCATAGGGGATATCAGTTGAAATCCCTGATATCTTTTCCATGTCTATATCCCTTTTCAAAATGAAAATGGATTTTAGAGCCTTATACTTTGTCATGAGCATCATTGTTCCCCAAGCCCTTCAAGCTTTGCTCATGAGGGGACTTTCCAAAAAAGCCATGAGTTAATGACCAGAGACTTGTCCCAGAATGAGATGGAAGACCCCAACTGCCTGAGCCTGATCATGGCTAGGTATGATGGCAATGCACCCAGGCAACACTAGTGCCAACATGCCACCCTGGACGTCTACAAATGCTGTTTACTCTTTTCTCCAGACTCCAGCTAGGAAATTACCTTGAAGGTATGCAGTGCCCAGCTGCGGTAGGCCTCATCTTGGCCGCTGAGCTCATCTCCTTCTCCAGTGGGTGCAAGTTGAGAGGCCCCTAGCTGCAAAAACTTCTGATCGATATCATGGGCGAAGGCACAGAATTGGGGGTACATGCTGGAGCCAAGACCAAATATAGCATATCTGCCCACAAAAGAGACACATATGGGGGAGGTAAGCAGGAGGTGAGAATGTTGGGGAATTCACCAAGGGACCTGGCCTGACTGATATCAGGCAGCAGGGGGAGCAGGGAAAAGACCTACCTGAATTTATTTTTTAGCTCTTTCAGGAGAAACAGGGACTTCTTCAGTTTCTAGAAAGAGGGAACATCACAGAATTCTCAGGCCCCAAAGTCAAATGAGCTGGTCCTTCCCAGTACAACTTAAACTCAACATGTTCAAAACTGGACTCATCATCTTCTTCCCTACCCCCGAATGTACTTCTCTTCCTAATTTCTCCAGGTACTTCTTAGCCCTTCTTTTTCCCAATAGGTACACACTGTAGCCAAGTCTACCTTTATAAATAAGTTCTAGAGGGAGAAGGGATCTCAGAAACCATCCTGTCCACCCCCTTCATTTTACAGATGAGGAAACTGAGGCAAACAGGGGGAAGTGACTTGCTCAAGATCATATAGTTAGGAAGTATCTGAGGTTAGATTTGAACTCAGGAAGATGAGTCTTCCTGACTCCAAACTCTATGCAGTATGGCACCAACTAGTAGCCCCACAGGGCAGCCCGTAAGGACCATAGTCCTTACGCATGGTTTAGCCACCCCTGTTTCTACTTGAATTTGACCACACTGCTCTTGCCTTTTACCTCTACCTATTGATTTCTCTCACTCCTATTAACACGCAGTCCTACCTTCTACAAGAGGCTCTTCCTAGTCTTCCCAGCTACTAGTCACTTCTCCTCTCTGATTGTCTTCCATCTAAATATATCTTACATATACCTAGTTATTTACATATTATTGTATTCTCCATTAGAATATACACTCCTTGAGGGCAGGGACTTTTTTGCCCTTTCTTTGTAGCCCCAATGCTTAGTACAATGCCTAACATGTGGTAAATACATAATAAATGCTATTTGGACAGCACTCAAACCCTCTCTGGCCACTGCCATAGCCAGGAGTCAATACTCTGAGAATTTTCCCCTAGTATGCTCAGGGGTATAGTAATGGACCTCCACAGGACAGACCTATCTACAAAGAAAGCTGTTTCCTGCTCTCTCACCAGTGAAATATTGGCCATCACGTGACTGTTTTAAAACAAATGAATCGTTAACAAGTCAGAGGCAATGTGGCCCAGAGGAGAGAGAACTGGCCTTAATTTAAGAAAGCCCGAGGCTCAAGTCCCATCTATGATACATACTGACTGTGTGACCCTGGGAAAGTCGCTTAACCTTCTAGGCAATTCTAAGACTCTAATGCTTTCTGGTTGCGTCCCATAATCCTAGTGGAATGGAGGAATTCTATGTTTTTCATTCATTTTGGTGAAACTTACCTCACCATTCCCAGGAGAATCCCCATTTCCAAAAGTGCTGGTAACCACCAGAAGTAGCTTCTCTTTTTCTAAGTCACTCACTTTGTATTCGTCCATGCAGAGAATCTGAAAGAAACAATCACCCTAAATTTAACCTTCAAGGGAGCAACTTTACCAGAGTTGGGCTTTTCAACGTGGAACAAGGCATGAGAGGTGAGCAGGGAGTGGATCCAGGAAGTGCTTTGGGACTCTGAGTTGGCCCTACTGTGGAAGCTGGTGAGATAAAACAAAGCAGAGTCTGGAGGGTGGTGGGGATCTAGGGAAGGCCGAGTAGCAGACATTCCAAGAGCTGTTGGTCTGGGTCTATACCAGATCATCTCAGCTCTACGCTTGATATGGGTATCCAAGGAAAAGCAGAGTCTGCCCCATCATATCTATGAATGACATCCTGAATACTGGTGCCATGGTAAGACAATCAGAAATGAAGATCCCAGAATCCCAGAATCTCAGTGTTTGAAGTGACCCCAGAGGTCACCTAGACTAACCTGGACCTGAATAGGAGTCATTTGGCATCTTTAGAACTCAAACATTTGGCCTAAAGACAATAATGGATTATTTACCCAAAGTTATTAGTTGAGGCCTGATCTAACTAATGAGGAGTGACTTCCTTACTGTTCTTCAGACAGGATAGACATTTGAAAGCATAAGATATCATGGAAAGATTACTGGATTTGAGCATGGGAGGACCTGAATTCAAACACTGTCTCTACCACGTGCTCTCTGTGCAACTTTGGGCAAGTCATTTAGCTTTTCTTGGCCTCAGTTTCCCTATTTGTAAAATGAAGGAGTTGGGCTAGAGGACCTCTATGCTCCATGACAGCTTGAAATCCTATGATTTCTCTCCAGCCACTGCCATGCATTCAAAAGAAATGATTCCCATCCATAGTGACGGTCCCCAAAGAACAATGTGTTCATAAGAAAAGTCTATCTCTTCCTCTCTCACTTGTAGGATATAACCCATAATTAAGACTTTAAAAAGAAATGTCTTTTCCATTGGTTTGACTCTGCCTCTCACAAAACTCATGACTTTGGAAGATTTTCTGATCCAAGCTCAGAGTATCAAGATCTTCCACTATTGAGATGTTTTATGAGAAAGTGTCAGGAGCCCTGAAAGCCACTGCAAGATAGGTATTCCAAAAATACTTTGGATCATTGCCATTGTTTAAGTTATGAAGCATATGTTTAAAAATATTAAAATAATTTTAAAATTCATTATTTGATAATCATAATGTGTATCTCATTCTAGTTGGGTCCTCATTCAATTGCTCATCCTGGCCCCAGGAGGCAGAACTGGGCTCTGTGCATGAAGGGTAGAGGAAGGCACATTTCAGTTCAATATAAGGGAAAGCTCAACAATTAGAGCTATCCAACAATTAGAGCTAAATGTAGCAAGTTGCCCATCAATAGAGGTCTTTAAGCAGAGGCTAGTGACCACCTGGGGATGTTGTCGACTGAATTAATGATTTGAGTGGAAGATGAATTCAGAGGTGTCCAACTCAAGGCCAGTTGACCAAGACGCCTGCAAAACTCCTGAGTGCAGCCCAAACCAGATTAAAATGGAATTGGCAAATGCTTAACAATATAAATTAAAATAAAATATAACAGAAATAATGATAATTTGTGGTTTTCTAAATCAATATATACACCACAGGGATTCATTTTCACTTGTGTTTGACACCATCAGATTAGATGATTTCTAAGGTCCCCTGCAACTCTGAATTCTACGATTCTGATTACAGAATGACTTAACTCCTATATATATTCCATAAGATTTGGTCTGGTTCACCCCAAGGAGTCTTCACAAAAAGTGGCTGATGTGGACCCCAGACTGAGCTTCTGGAACATGAATAGTGTAAATTACCCCCAAAATATTACATCTTCCCATCCCTACTCCCCTTCTATTTACTCAGTACAGATAATCTGATAGGTTGGATAGGTGCTCAGGTTAAAAGGAACAGCTGAGTGTGGGTCTGGAAGGAACCAACAATTTACCTTGGTATTGAAAGCACAGCTGAACAACTCTCCCAAATCCCTGGCCAGAGTTTCTGATTTGCCCGTCTCTGTCGCAAAGAGGACAGTGGCTTTGATCCGAGCTGCCATGGTCTTGCACATCAGGACAGAGACAAAGAACACTGCTCTGTGGGGATGGGCAGACAGATTGCCAGGTGAGTGGTGGCACATAAAGCAGAGAGGGCTTGGGGATGGGCGAGGTTAATGGAGCCAGACAAGGCTTGAGGTCATAGGAGTTAGTAACTTAAATGATTGTCCACCCACCAACTTAACCATTATTCCCCTCTCCTCCCCTTCCTCTTACTCCCTTCCTAGCCACTTTAGGGAAGAGAAGAGAGGAAGACAGATCAGACGGTGACTCCAAAAGTGAATTGCACCCAAGAAAGTTGAATTTATTAGATAGTGTTAAAAGAGAACCATTCTTCTTTGATTCTTCCCACCTCAAGGCTTGGGGAGTGGAGAAAAGTGAGAAAAGAGGCTGGTAGGAATTGATTGGAGGGAGATACTGCCATTCAGATTTAAAAACACTGAACTCTCATACTTACCTGATCACGACCTTTAATTTGATCTCTCTTTTCTTGGGCCTCTTCTTCTCATCATGCCAGACATGGGTTTTCCAGGCCTCCACCTGGAAAAAAATAAATGTGATACAAGGGAGAAAAGGCCCATTAATCTGAATTTACTCAGAGAGGCAAAAGGCTTGGTGGGAAAACTCAGAAATGAACTTAGTTTGAAACATTAGGTCGAGGAAGTTTTCAGAAGAAGAAATCAGAGCTATCAATATTCACATGAAAGATTGCTTTGAATTACTGTTGATTAGAGAAATGCAAATTAAAATAGCTCTGACATACCACCTTACACCTATTAGATTGCTAACATGACCGAAAAGGAAAATAATCAATGCTGGAGAGATATGGAAAAATTGGAACACTAATGCACTGTTGGTGGAGTTATGAACTGATCCAACCATTCTGGAGAAAAATTTGTAACTATGCCCAATAGGCTATAAAACTGTTTATAACCTTTGACCCAGCAATGCTAAGTCTGTATCTCAAAGAGATCAAAGAAAAGGGAAAAGGACAAAAATATTTATAGCAGCACTTTTTTTGTGATGGCAAAGAATTGGAAATTGAGGGAATGCTCATCAATTAGAGAATGGCTGAACAAGTTGTGGTACATGATTGTGATGGAATACTATTGCGCTATAGGAAATGATGAGTAGGATGCTTTCAGAAAAACCTGGAAAAATTTACATGAGCTGATGCAAAGTGAAGTGAACAGAACCAGGAGAACATTACACACAGTGACAGCATATTGTATTATGATCAACTGAAAGACTTAGCTACTCTGATCAATACAATGATCCAAGATAACTCCAAAGGACTTATGATGAAAAATGCTATCCACCTCTAGAGAAAGAACTAGTGGATATGAGTGCAGATTGAAGCATAATTTTTTTCACTTTCTTTATTTCTCTTCCTTTTTTTTTTTTTGCAACATGGCTAATACAGAAATGTGTTTTGCCTATACATACATGTATAATTGATATCAAATTGTTTGCCTTTTCAAATAGGTGGGGGATGTGTGGGAGGGAGGGAAAGAATTGGGAATTCAATTTTTAAAAAAAAAGAATGCTAAAAATAAATAATTTTTAAAAAGAAATGTTAGTTCAGCTGTTAACACAAATTCACAAAGGAAAATTTGATTTCAGTGATATGGGGAACTCCAAGGGCGGGAACTTCTCTACCAACTCAGACCCACAACCCACCTACAACATGGAAAATTACCTGAGGCTCAGAAAAGCTAAGTGATTTACCCAGGGTCACTCAGTTAATTAATAAGTGTCAAAGATTATATTTGAACCTAGGTCAGTTAAGGAATGGCTGAACCTATGTCTCCCTGATTCTAAGCCTGGTCTTTTACCCACCATGATGAGCTGCCTTTATTTTGTTGTTTTTTAGTCATTAAACAATATGCAGAAAAGAGCCAGTGTAAACAACAAACCTCCCTATCGGAGGAGAGCTGGTTGAATAGAGTGTATCATTGGCTCTGCCACCTAATAAATCACCTTTTCTGTTTGGGCTGAGAGGGAACCTTTTCTGTAATTTAGAATCATAGATTCACCATTTCATTTTTTGTCTTTTGATCTTCAGCATCAGCATAGTGGCTGGCACACTGGTGCTTAATAAATGCCTGCTACTTGATTAATTGATGTATACACACGTTGTTTCCTCCCCAATAGAATGTAAGCTTCTTGAGGTCAGGGATCATTCCATTTCTGGTTTTGTAGCCCCAGCATCTAGTACAATGGTTAGCACATAGCAGGTGCTTAACAAATGCCTGCTGCTTAATTAATTGATGCATATACAGGTTGTTTCCTCCCCAGTAGAATGTAAGCTTCTTGAGGTCGGGGATCATTGCCATTTCTGGTTTTATAGCCCCAGCATCTAGTGCAGTGACTGGCACACCATAAAGAGGCAATTCCTAAATGCTTGTTGGACAAATGACCCTCTGCTGAGCTCTTTCAGGCTTAGCGAAAGGGGAGGCCAGAAGTGAACACAGTGCCAGACAATACTCTCTAGAATGGAAGTGAGTGTGAGGGCCTGCGTACCTGGTAGTAGTAGAAAGGAGAAAGAATGTAGTTTAGCATCTCCTGATGAAACACGGGGGTGATGCTGCCAGAGATCGGTGGGACCAGCCAGACCCAATCTGCCGGGCAGCCGCCTCGAGACTTGTGTTCATTCTGCATGTATTTCATGAAGGATTCCGCTGCGGAGTGGTGATCCATGATGGTGACATTTTGTTTCTAAAACAAAAGGAAGTGCAAGGTGATATAGTGAGCTGGCAAGGGGCAAAGAATGTAGGCAGGCCTCGTTTTTCACTATCTGTAAAATGGGAATGACAATCATCCTTGGTCCTATTCTGTACTATTCTGCAACTAAATGAAGCAAGAGACAATTCAACAACAGGTGAAATAAATGGGAAAACAATGGAAAACACTTCCTTGGGAGGAAAAACACTTCCAGAAACATCACTGTTAATTCTGGCCATAAAGAAGCTGTGATTATGTCAGTACAGAGAACTCCTAGTGTGGGAATTCCCTCTATTGATGGAGTAAGGTCCAGTGGACAGTGTCCTGGCTCTGGACTCAGTAAAAGGAACTCAGTCTAATCCTGCCTCTGTCATTTACTTCCTAGATGCCCTTGGGCAAATTACTTTAACCTTCTTGACCCTCAGTTTACACATCTGTAAAATGAGGGGGTTATAGGAGAGAAACCAACAACAATAATAATAACTAGGATTTACAAAGTGCTTTACATGTTATCTCATTTGATCCTCACAACAACCCTGTAGGTGTTAGTATTCCCATTTTACAGATGAGAAAACAAAGTCAGAGAGAAGTTAAGTGATTTTCCCATGATCCCACGGTAAATGTCTGACAGTAGATTTGAACTTTGCTCTTCTTGATTCCAAGACCTGCACTATATCTGTCACAACACTTGGGAGCCTGCAGGTGGCCTCTGAGGTATCTCCCAGGGGTCTGCTGTTTGCCAAGATACAAGGCAGAAAGCCATGATCGAGTGACTTCAACTTTCTGATTCTCAAAGAGCCAGATAACAAGGTAGATAGAGTGCTAGACTTGAAATCAGGAAGACCTGAGTTCAAATCCTGCCTCAGACACTTAGTAACTGTGAGACTCTAGGGAAGTCACTTGACCTCTCTCAGTCTCAGTTTCCTCATCTGTAAAATAAAGTAATTAGACTTGGTCCCCTCCAGAAGATCCCTTCTAGCTATAATTCTAATTTATATTCTCACTGTTACATATTACTAGTGTGTATATTATAGACAAAGTATTACATATAGTATATATATATTAATAATATATATTATTATAATTATATAAGCTGATTGATCACACTGTTTAAGGTTAAATCAATACTTGGGGGTATGGCCATAACCATCTCAGATAAGAGGTAGCTAGGGGTCATAGAGAATAAAGCTCAGAGTCAGGAAGGTGGAAGGCTGAATCCTGCTTCAGACATTTACTAGGTGTGTGACCCTAAGCAAGCCATTTATCCTCATGGGCCTCAGTTTCCTCATCTGTACAATGCACAGGTTAGACTCTAAGGTCCCTTCCAGATCTAGATCTATGATCCTTTTTGACCCTAACTTGTATTTTGAAGTCTTGGGGACACTTTTGTGAAAGGATTTTCAAAAGGATTTGTGGAAGGATGACACTTTTGTCAAGTACTAGGACCTTACTAGATCTGGAAGAACAGAAGCCTAGGAAATTGTCTCATTGAATTCCGGTTGAATTCAATTGGATTTAATTAAGTGAGCGAAGGGGCATAGCCTCAACATCTCAATATGAAGCAGAGCTGGTAGCACATTTTCCTATCCTTATCTCAATTCTGCCTGTTTCACAAATAGGGTTGGGATTCCCCGGGATAGGAGTTATGCTCACATAGCTCTTTCTGAACTAGGTCAGCTTCCAGACAGCCTTTTTTTTCCTGTTTGTATCCAGGTTCTTACTTCTGTTGAAACCAAATAGCCTAATTGACTTTAGAACCCCTAGGGAGTTCATAGAAGCATAGTCCTTGGGTGCCGTAATTATAACTAGGGCAGAGACAACCAGGACTTTGTCCCAGGCACCAAAATTTAGAAGGATGATAGTACTCACAGTCCTTCAGCAGCATATCAAGGAGGGGGCTTAATTAGAAAGATTAGTTAAATGACTAATATGGTAATATGTTTTGCATGATTGAATACACATATCCTATATCAAATTGCTTGTGGTCTCAGGGAGGGAGGGAGAGAGAAAATTTGGAGCTCAAAATTTTTTAAAAATGGAAGTTAAATTTTGTTTTTACATGCACCTTGGGAAAATAAAATGTTATCTATAAAAAGAAAGATTAGTTAAAGTAAGAAACCATGAGGCTCCACCCCAAGTAAGTGCCTCATTGATAACCCCACAGTTTCTACCACTGTGATTGAATACCATTTTGTACTATTTGCCCTCATACAAAAAAAATCTCTTATCATGCTTTTAATGGAAAGGACCCTAGAAATGATGTGAAATAAGCCTCCCACTTTACAGAGGTAGAAACGGAGAACCAAGGAGGTGAAGCTCAGCTCAGACACGTCTGGTTTGATTCACTGATGCCAGCCTCTCATTGCCAGCTGCTATCAGCAACGTGGAGAGAAGCCGTTTGATAGGGAGCTGGGCTTGGCACGTTTTTTTTTTCCCCTCTCTGTTGGGATGTCTCAATATCTTTGACTGCTATTTGTTGCCCCAGCCATGGAGAGCTGGTGTGAGAAATGTCTCTAATTTGTTTTAAATACACTTCTCACTCAATCTGCTGCTGTTTCAAGAAGTGTGATCAGTGGCAGAGCTGCTAATGAAATGTCTGAAGGGGCTCGTTAACTGTTAGTGATTCACTTCTTGAATCAGGTCCAGTGATGCTTGTCGATGGCACTGCTCCCCTCAGAACAAATGGCTCCATCTATAAACATTTCAGCCAAAGCTGGATCATCTACCTTGACCTCATTTTACAGAAGAGGAAACTGAGGCTCAGAAAAGGGAGGAGACTTTTTTGTCTGTTTGGGAGGAAAAAAAAATCTCTCCCCAAGAAGATTCTAAACATTTTGATCTTTTCCCTTCAAAAGTCTATGTATGATATCTTATCTTTTCCAAATGAAAGGCCAGAGTCTTTGTCTAGGCTTCTAGCATTGGAAGGTAATATAGTAATGGCCTGCAGCTTTCTACCTAGTCAAAGGAGACACTGGAAACTACTTCCTTATGGGGGCTACTGTCTAGTCATTGACCCAGAGGATCATAACTTTCAAGCTGGATGGGTCTTGAAAAGTCACTGATGCCAACCCTCTCATTTAACCAACAAGGAAACAGAGGCACAGAAAGGTTATGAGACATGCCCAAGGTCACACAACTGCTATGGGGAACAAGGTCATAGAGCTGAGAGGGACCTCAGAGGTCACTGAATCCTACATCTTACAGAGGAGGAAGCAGGTCAAATGACTTACCCACAGTCACAGAGCTACTAAGCATCTGAGGCAGGATTTGAACCCAGGTCTTCCTGACTCTCAAGGTACATGGCTCCCCCACCAAGCCACACTGCCCTTGGAGCATATAGGAGGGGCAAGATAATGAGCAGGGCTTTAAGGTCTCATCATTCAATAGCTGATTGAAGGAACAGGGAATATTCAGAGAAGACTTAAGGAGGAAATGATGACTGCCTTCAAGCATTTGAAGAGCTGTCATATGGAAGAAGGATTTGACTTTTTCTACTTGGTCTGAGAAGAAAACACTATGACCTCTGGGTGGAAATTGCAGAGGCTAATTTAGACTAGTGTAAGGAAATATTTCCTAGCAAGGAAAGCAGATTGGGAGGCATGTCTTGGCAGGGAGTGGCTTGCCCTCATTTGAAGACTTTAACCAAAGGCTGGATGACCACTTTTGGGGCATTTCCTAGAGGGAATTCTTGGCCTCTGTGGTCCCTTCCCACTCTGAAATTCTGTGACTCTATGATATGACCTCTTTGTGGAAGAAAAAAACAGTTTCATAGACTGGTAGAATCATAGAAATCCAAATCTGGAAAGACAATCCAACTCCTTTCATCTTACGAGAGAGGAAACTGGGGCTCACACAGGTTACGGGACTTGGTATAGCTTGGACTTCTCAACTGAGCCAGCTCCCATCTATGGTATGAGACAATATCCCCATTATGAGATGAAAAAGGAATCTGAATTATTCTGATCTATAGCTGATGATTCTCTCAAGGATGTGAAAGCAAAGGTACCAGGGGAAAAGAAAGTTTCTCTCTCTGTCTCTCTCTCTCTCTTTTTTTTTTTATCATTGTCTTATTAAAAAACAGAATAGGCAGAAAGAATTAGCTACTCCATAGCTTCATTTCTTACCTAGCCTTAGTCACTGGATGGGTGTTGCCTCAGATCAACTGAGACCTGGGAAAGACCTTAGCTTAAAAAAGCCAATATCTCCCACTGCATCCGAGGCCATCTCCAGTCCTCCTGATCTATGTCTTGCCATTGGACCCAGATGGCTCCTGAGGAGCACAGCCCTGCTTCACTTAAACCCAATTCTCTTGCAAGTCATGACATCACCTTCCCGATGTTGTGGTCCTCTTTGAGCACAAAGGACAAACAATGACAACAACACCACCAGAGCACTGATCTAGGAATTTGCAGCCCAGCTCTGCTCCTAATTGGCTGCATAACCTTGGACAGTTCATTCAAACTTTCTCAGTCTCAGTTTTCTCAACTGCAAAACAAAGGAAGAAACCTTTCCTCTAAAGCGAAATCATGGCAGGTCAATTAGTTAGTCAACAAATATTTATTAAACACCTACTATGTACCAGACACTATGCTAAGTGCTGGGCATGCAAAGAAAGGGAAAAAAAGCCCCTGTTCCCCAGAAACTCCCAGTCTAGTAATATCAGAACATTTTGGTTCATTTCTCAGCCTGGCATGATGCATGGATTGCTGGTCTTGTAGACAAGAAGGCCCTGGTTCAAATCCTGCCACAGAGGCTTGCTACTTGCGTGATCAAGTTACTTACCCTCCCTGGTACTTGGTTGGGGTTGGCCTAGATGAGGTCCAAGGTCCCTTCCAGCTCTGGATCTATGACCCAGTGAAGCATACCCCCTGGGGACTGGGAGCAAGCTGCACTGTTTCCTTCCCAGGGAGGATGGAGCCACAGCGACCCAAGCCCCTGGGATCCCTGCCCAAAGGCCTTTGCTCCAGAGAACTTGCCAGGTGTTTGATCCGAGGGTGGGGCCGGGCTGAGGAAGGGGTCCAGAATGCTTTATCCTGGAGGTCCTCCAGCATGTTTTCAACAGCCCATTTTGTGTGTTCATAGGCCCTCACTCCAGACAAAACCTCAGGGGGACAGGACTTGTTCCTGACGGCTGCTGGAGTCTCCCTCTCTCTGGTTACGTTCCATTTACTCTGTCCCTATCTCCCATGTACTTACTTAGAAGGGAGCCGTCTCCCCATGAGAACTTAAATTCCTTCAGGGCAGGGACTGGGTTTCTGCCTTTCTTTGTGCCTGGCACATAGTAAGTGCTCAATAAATGTTTGTTTATTGAAAAAGGAAGGGAAGTGTTTACCTTAGTAAGGACAGAGAATACCCCGTAAATGCCTGACTTACTTGGAAACTGTGTAGCACAGCCACATTGATCTCAATCACTGCCCTGTCCTTCCAGAGAGAAGACAACTTGTGGGTTTCCAGACCCATTCTCCTTCCAACTTCCTGCAGGGAGGCAAGAGGACAGGAGCCGGTTAATCCCTTTAAGGCAAAGAGATCAAAGAAAGAGGAAAAGGGTCCATATATTTTAAAAAACAACATTACCAGTATCTCCTTTTGTGGCGTCAATGGACTGGAAAGTAAGGGAATGGCTGAACAAACTATGGTATATGAATGTAACGGAGTATTATTGTTCCATGAGAAATGTCAAAAGGGACAGATTCTGAGAAACCTGGGAAGACTTGCATGAACTGATGCAGAGTGAAATGAGCAGAATCCAGAGTACAACTTAGACGATAACAACATTACAAAAATGAACAGTCTTGAAAGACTTAAGAGCTCTGCCCAACGCAATGATCAGCCATGATTCCAAAGGGCCAACGATGAAGAATACTGTCCGTCTCTGGACAGAGGAAAGACAGATTCATCATGCAGAATGGATACACTTTTTTGGTCCTGGCCAACGTGGGGATTTGTTTGGCTTGGCTATTCCTGTTTGTTACAAGGGTTTTGTTTCTTATTTTTTCTTTTCCTTTTCTTTCCGTCTGTGGTTTATCTAGCTTTCTCTTACCTCTAGGATATTGTACCTCTGGACATCACAGAAATCTCGGACACCGATCTCAGTCCCCATGTACCAGCCATTAAATGGGCTCCCGGGGAACTCTAGGCCACCCACTTCCAGGAGCATGTTGGCCACGGCAGGCAGAGCATACCACTTCAGATCCAGTTCCTTGAACCACTCATACCTGTTGAGGAAGGAGGGGATGTTGCAACTCAGGGTCCCTGAAGAACATTGAGTTGAGATCCAAAGGACCTGACTTCAAACACTGCTTACTCTCAGTGCAAACCCAGGTAAATTACTTCTCTTCCCCTCCCCTGGGCCTCAATGTTTTCATCTGAAAATGAGGTGAGACTAGATGATCTAGGGAGGCAATGTGGAGTAGTGGAAAGAGTCCTGGTTTGGGAGCCTGAGTTCAAATTTCAGCACTGCCATGTGTTTCTTATGTGAGTAAAACATTTAACCTTTCTGTGCCTCAGTTTCCTTATCTGTAAAATGAGGGGATTTGATCTGTGACCTCTAAGTTTGCTATGACCTGATGTTATCCCTCTTTGGCCAGAAATACTTTCAGAAGGACGCCACCAAAAAAACTCTCTGCTTTTGGGCCAGAGAAGCAATATGGTGCAGTAGCCAGAGTCAGGAAGATGTACATTCAAATCCTACTCTCTGGCGTCCTCTTGAGATTATGAGCTCCCTAAGGGCAGGGATTATCTGTGCCTTTCTTCATACTCCTAGTGTTTAGTATAGTATCTGGCATAAAATCAGGGCTTAATAAATGCTAGTTGACTTGACCATTACTTAGTTTTGTGACTTTAAGCAAGTCCCTGAGCCTCAATTTCCTCATCTGTAAAATGGGGATAAAAATAATAGAAACAGATAATACAGGATAGGGAAAGGGAACAGGATACAATGTTATTTCATTACAAGGCTTCCCCCCCCCCAAAGCAGGAGAGTGGAAGGAAGAGAAAATGTCTCTTAAATAGAAATATATATACATATATATATATATTTGTACATATATATGTATATGTATATACTACAGGGTTTAGGGTCAGGGGAACTGGATTCAAATCCTGGCTTTGCTACTCTCTGTGTGACTCTGGTAAAGTCACTTAACAACTTCCCTGGGCTTCAGCATCCTATCTGTAACATGAGGGGATTGGACCAGATGTCTTTTGATAAAGTTTCCAGCTCTAACCCTTTGATCATATGACCTTTTTATCTCTAAATCTACAATGTTCTCATCATGTAATCTGTAATCCCCACCCCACAGGGCCCTTGGGATGCTCCAGAGGAATAAGGTACATAAAACCCTTGGTCAGTCTTAGAGCACTACCTAAATGTTAGCTGTTATTAAGATCAAGCCAGGAGATTTTAGCTGCCTGAGGGGAATTGAGATCAGTAGGTAGTTTCTCTTTTTTTCCTTTTAAAAAATCTTTGGTTTCTTTATATCTGCCCTTGGTGCACAGGATAAGACTGTGTCTGTGGTCACTCAAGCAGGGGCATTGATGAGATAATGGATGGGGTTTTTGAAAGCTGATCCCTGAAGCTGGACCCTCATGGTGCTGCAAAGGTCAGGGAGGGTAGGCAGTGACTGGGGAGACATGCCCCCCGTATTGGCATCCTGGGGGAGAATCCCAGTCACTCTCACCCTGGCTACAGCTCTAAGAGGACCTGACAAAAAAGTGCAGCCCCCAATTTGGGTCCCTGGAGTGCTAACTGTGAATGAAAGTGCCTCTGAAGGATGCTTAGAGAGGGGATCCAGGATGGAGGAGCTGGTGTTGCAATAGAAGCCTCTCTCTGAAGTCCTCCTCATTTCCACTCCTCCCTCATGCGTCAACACGCTTTCATATGTCTTCACTCCAAAATGAAAGCACATGGTTGCTAGAGAAGGTAGCTGTGATATGGCAGTCTATGAAAGGAATTCCCTCTTGGCTTTAAATGGATGCCATGTCAGCTTTAGGGGAAAATTATTGCAAGGTTCTTTGGGGGCAGAGAGTCAAAGCCTATAAAATGTGCTGGTGGGGGATGCGGCATGCAGTAAAGACCAGACTTCTAATCCCTCTGCTCGGTCCACTTACTTGGGATGTTCTATAGCCACCTCAAGGACAAGGTCTTTTGGGATGTCAAAGACTTCTGGATCCTGGCCATTGGCTTGTAACACGAGAGGCAAGATATCAAAGCGGCCATATTTGGGCACCCATCCCAAGTTTATGCACAGCTGGAGAGGGAGAAAACAACATAGTGATTGACACTGATGGTGATTGGGCATTGAGACTCCTTTGGGGCCCTCTTGCTGCTTGCCCTGGGACTTCCCACCCCGGCCCCTGACCACTGGCTTTCCCAATGGAGTTGGAGAGGATCTACACACCTGGGTGAACTCAATGCTGGCGGCATCTCCTACGATGGAGCCATCTGGCATCTGGTAGCCAGCATATCGAAGGAGCTGAGCATTCCAGACCCGGAAGTCATGTTTCCCATCACTCCTCTGGGGAAAGATGGTAATGGCTGACCTGCCCCAAAAAAAGGGAGAATGTGTGTTTGGCAAGTAATATTGGCCTCCAGTCAGATCTCCTGGAAACTGCCATACCTAATGGGGGTCCAGGAAGACAGACCACTCAAAGGGGTAATGGTCCCTCTTGTCCTTCACAAGGAGGCTTGGACTCAATGATGAGAAAGGAAATGAGGTGTACTTTGGGGTTGAGGTTTGGGGAGGATGCAGCAAAAGGAGGAAGCAGTAGTAGGTTGAGACCCTGGAAACTCAACCTCATGGGCTGCCTCCCTCAGTTTTTGTCCTTTTGTCATGCTTGCCCTACTTTGGCTCTCTCTAGGTAGGGCCGATGCTGAAAGGGATCTCAGGGGTCATCCAGTCCTAATGCTACATTTTACAGATAAGGAAACTGAGGCCCAGGGAGGTTGTGACATCTAAGTCACTTAACACATGCAGTAAGCTTCAGAGATGGAAAATGAACCAAGGTCCTCTCCTTCCTCAGCCAACATTCCTTCCACCATGTCATTTAATCCATCACTAACCATTTATTAAACAGCTAGTATGTGCCAGCCGCTGAGCTAGGCTCTGGGCAGACAAAGACAAAAATGAAACAGTCCTTGCCCTCAGGGAGCTTAAATCCAATGAGGGAGACAACTTGTGCAGACATAAGTATATGCTGAAAAAATAGAAAATAAATACAAGATAGCTTAGGGTGGGTGGGCACTTGCCATTGAGGAGAGCCACATAATGAGGAGGTTGTATGAGATAACCTCATAGAGCTGGGAGGAACCTCAGTGGTCATCTAGTTCACTGATTTCTTTTACAAATAAGGAAACTGAGTCTCATATAAATGAATTGACTTGCCTAAGGACATATGGTCAGTAACAGAATCAGGATTTGAATCTATATCTCCTCACTAAAAAGCCTTTGGTCATTCCATTGTATTATGTTGCTTCTGCCTCTGTTTCAGTACAACCTCTGCCTCTTGTGCTTATGATGGGGAGAGTCGGGGGATGGCATTGACCATTGTCTCCAGCATAGCATAACCATATCAGTTCGGGATTTGTTAAGAGGCAGGATTCCAACTGGCAACCAACCCTAGGCAAAAAGTGCCTCAAAGGTCACTTCATCTTCCTCTGCCTTCACCCGGCTGCCCAAATGATCTTCCTAGAACACAGTTCTGACCCTGTCACTTCCTACTCACTGAATACCAGCAGTTCTCACATCCAGGGTCAACTCTAAAATCCTGTTTCTGTTTTAAAGCTCTTCATCGCCTGGCCCCACTTCCCTTCTCAGTCTGCTTACATTTACCACCCTCCACACATTCTACCATCCAGTGACACTGGCCTGGCTGGAACTTAAACAAGACACTCTTTTTCCAGTCTGTGTTTTCACTGGCTGTTCCCCCACGCTTGGAATTCTCTTCCTCCTGGCTTCTTCAAATCTTTGCCAAAATTCGGCCTTCTACCAGAAACCTTTCCTGGTTCCCCTTCATGTTAGCACCTTCCCTCTGAGACTGCCTTCCATCCACCCTGTACATATGCTATCGGTAAGCAGCTGTTGGCATGTCGGTGCCCTCATTAGATAGTCAGCTCCTCAAGGCCAGGGACTATTTTTGATTTTCTTTGTATCCGCAGCACTTACTGCCTGGTACACAGTAAGTACACAGTATACAGTAGGTGTGTAATAAATGCTTGTTGACCTACAGACAGGACTTCATACAGAAAGCGATTCACTCTTAATTTATAAATCCACTCCATAACCACCTCTGAATGAATACATTGGGCAGCATGGCACAATGGATACAGGACTAGATTTGGAGTTAGAGACCTCAAGGCCAAATCTTGGCACTGCCATTTAGTGCCTCAGGCCAGTCACATGACTTTCCTCAGTTTCCTCTTCTGTAAAAAACAAGAGGGTTGGCCCAGACGATCTTGAAGTTTTCTTCCAACTCTAAATCTATGATGAGTCTATGTTTAAGTATCCTCAGTCTTCTAGTCTAGAAGTTACTAAATGGAAATCCAAACTACCAATTTTCTTTCTCTTCTTTCTTTCTCTTTCTTTCTTTCTTTCTTTCTTTCTTTCTTTCTTTCTTTCTTTCTTTCTTTCTTTCTTTCTTTCTTTCTTTCTTTCTATCTTTCTTTCTTTCCCTCAAAGTGACTCCAAGCTAGAGGGAGACAAAAAAAAAACAAACCAGATGTAGAGATGATGAATACCAGGGTAGGGCTAAGCATGCTACTTGTCAGGGAATCTTACATCCTTTTCTTTCTATCTTAATTTCCCAGACAACCCTGGGCTACATCTCTGGGATGCCTTTCCCATAAACATCTCTAATGACTTAAAAGCTAGAGATTATGGGGGTGGGGGTTTATGGAAAAGAGGTCTCACCTGATATTTCCATTGTTGGTTGCATAGCGGATATGCTGACAGATGTGCTCAAACATCTCCTTGGCTGTTGTGCAGTTTCGAGCATCAAACACCTACAGACCCCAACGAACCCCAAGACCAAGGTCATCGATGACAGTATAAATGTTGGTCCTCATCCAATTATTGTCAGAATCTAACAAATCCCCCAGGGTAACTTCAACATCTCCGTATTTGTATCAAGCCATAGCACTGCTTCCAAAGCAGCAGATGTTTTAATCAGCTGGGAAAATGAAAACCCTGTCCTTTCATTCCTGATCATCGTCATTCTTTTCTACTCCTAAACAGAGAATTAGACACTGTGATTTCATTGGTATCAGGAACTTCCAGATGAAGAACTCTTCCAAATGTGAATCAGTAGCTTCCCTTAGATGGTTACTTGGGACACCAAGGGTTTAAGTGACTTTCTCAGGGTCGTACAACCAGTATATGTCAGAGGCAAGATTTGAACTGAGATCTTTATGACTTCAAGACCAACTCTCCACTATGTACTGCTGGCTCTCACCTTCTACATAGTGAGCACTTAATGAATGCTTGATTAATGGGCAGGTATTGTAGGGATAATAGTATTAGCATTATATAATATTACAAATCAGTTACTGTATTGATATGCCCACATTAACAAACAGCCAGTGACCCACACCCAGCCAGAGGTACTGGATGGCATAAGCAAGCCAGAGTGAGTCAATGCTCCTTGGGAGCTGATATTTAAAACTCAGCACCGGGACTTTTGACCAATGATCTGTGCCGCTGTGCTAACAGCTGCCAAACCAACTGGTGTGTCCCAGGGGAGCTGTCCCAGGAGGCCTGAGTGCCTCCCCTCCCCTTCCCCTTCCATTGAGGTCACAGCCTCTCCATCTCACTCCCCAGAAGTTCACCTGCAGGTTTGACCACTGGATCCTCCCAATGCACCGAGGGGCATTTCTCCAGGCCTGCTTGGTTGCATAAATGAGCTCATCTTCCGTCAGCTGGTAGGTTCCTGTTGTTTCTATCTCTTTTGTTACTGCTTCCACTCTGGCCAAATGCTGCTCTATTTTTGCCCTATGGGACAGGAAAATGTCAGGAATAGAAACAATAGGAACTGACTTATTTCCCCCCTCCCCGAAGATCTGTGATTTCAACCTTATGGGAGAAGTTCCTGCGTGGAAACTCCCTTTACCAAAGCAGGTGTGCAACTTGCCTGTAACATGTGTCGTAGAGAGAAATTCAGTGACTGGCCTGTGATCACCAAAGTAGTGAGTGTCAGAAGGGGGAGGGGTCCCCCTGCTCCCAGACTCTAAGGCCAGCCTTCTATTCACTACACTGTGCAGGATCATAGGATCATAGATCTTGTGTTGGAAAGGGCTGCAGGGGACATCTGGTTCAACCTCATATTTTTGTATTTAGGGGAGCGAAGGCCCAAGGGAATGCACTGACTTGCCCAAGATCACAAAGGTAGTAAGTATCAGAGTTAGAACTGGAATCCAAGTTCTCTTACTAGATAGTCAGTGCTCTTTCCATGGCAAATTTCATTGGATTTTGAGTTGGAAGGCACTTTAGACATCAAACCTAACTCCTTCCTCTTACAGATGAAGAACCTGAGGCCCGGGGAAAGTAAATGGCTTGCCTTTGGATGTGCAGGAGAAAAGGAGCAGAGCCATAATTTTAATGATTTCCTCCAAATCCAAGCCCAGTGCTCTCACTACTGAACTGTACTTCCTCTTCCTCCAAAGTCCCAATCCTGGGCTCTTGACTTTAAATTCCAAATACGAATCATAAACTCCTTGAGATGAAGGGCTGCCCTGCCTCTCTCTGTGCCATATCCCAACAAGATGCAGAATAGTCTTCTGCAAATCCCTGATGCTTGCACAGTGCAGTGAGAAAGGGGCTAGATTTGGAGTTAGAGAGTCTGGATTCAAATCTTAACTCTTCCCCATACCAGCTATGTGACGTTGGGCAAGTTTCCCCCACCCCAATCTGGCTCTCACTTTCCTTATCTTAAGGGTTGAACCAGCTAATTTCTAAGCTCCTTTTCAGCCCTAAATTTATGGCCAACTCACTCTGAGAAATACCTGTTGGTATTGAACCTAGACCTGGAACTGACAATAACTTTTGTAGGTCAGGTAAAGAAGTTTGGGGTCAGAGGACCTGAGTTCAAATATTGACTTTACTATTTCATACTTATCTGACATTGGGTAAGTCAAATTTCCTGGATCTCAGTTTCCCTATTTGTAAAATTATAAGAGCTGTGTGTGAATGTGTGGGAGTTGACTAAGTCCCTTCCAGCTCTAGAGCTATTTCCCTAAAAATCATTTAACTTCTCTGGGCCTCAGTTTCCTCTTTGGTAAAAGAGAGAATTAGACTCAATGGCTTTTGAGATCCTTTCCAGCTAGAAAGCTATGGCACTCCCCTTCCTCGGACCTCAGTTTCCTCATCTATAAAATGAGGGGGTTGAACTAGATGATCTTTAAGGTCCCTTTCATTGATCAGTCTATGATGCCAAGTCTACACCCTGGACTACGATGTCCCTTAGTTTCAGACACCAGTAAGTGCCATGAGAGAATGGATTCAGAACTGAAATGCTTCAAAACACACACACACACACACACACACACACACACACACACACACACACACCCCATCACAACAACCTTGAAGTTTCTACAAAGACACTTGAAATGGCAACAAGGAAAAGTATTTCAAGAACAAAGTCAGTCTTGATTACAGATAGGATGGACAAGGCAGAACAAAATGGCCTTTTAGTCAATGAAGACGGTCTTGACAACCCTCCTTTTCCTTGATAAAAAGGAGGCCACAGACAAAACACTCAAAAATATTTATCCCCAAGGACACAATAGGAACACAGGCTCACAAGAGCATACAACAGGAAATCAGCTCCAAAACAGGACTTTTGGAGGACTAATAATATCTCTTCTCCTTACCTCCCATCCCCCCACATCCCATACACAAACACGCAGACCAAGTCAGACCTGGTTGATGATGGGAATGACACAGGTTGACAGAACACTATTATTAATCACCCAAACCTAGGATGGATGGATGAATAAATAAATATTTATTAAACACTTTCTATGTGCCAAATACTGAGCTAAATTCTGGGAATACCCTCCCTCCCTCAGAAAAAGGCAAGATAGTCAATGTCCCCAAGGAACTCACTCTAATCTTAGGATCTAGGCTGTAGACCTGGAAGAGAGCTCAGAGTTGAGGCCTGTAATTCAACTCCCTCATTTTACAGATGAGGAAATTGAGGCCTATAGAGACAAAATGACTTGTCCAAGGTCTTCATGCCTGTTCATATTGAGTGACTTTTGTCTGTGACCTCCCATAAACTCACCATAGGGAGTCCATCCTAGGGCTGCTTCCTCAAATTGTCTTCTTACATCATGATGAGGATTCTGGCTGTCCACCTATCATCTCTTATCATAATAATCGTTATTATTGTTATTAAAAATAGTTATTATTATTCTATCTTCCATTTGTATAGTGCTTTATGCTTTTCAGAATGTTAACACCTACATAATCTTGGTGAAAAGGATCATAGACCTAGAGTAGAAGGGACCTTAGAAGCCATCTAGTCTCATAGCCTCATTTTCAGATGGGGAAATTGAGGCCCAAAGTGCTTGTGTTGCCCAAGGGAGTAAGTGTTGGCATCAGCATTTGAACCCTTTGCACCCCTCCACCCCCAAATACAGCATTATTTCCACTGTACCATGCTGCTTCTGTCTTATTCAATATCTTCTCTACTAAAGATTTCAAAATGTTAACAATACCTACTATCTTATAAGGGCTCTTGTCCTGGCTCTGCTACTTACTTTCTCTGAGATCTTAAGTCATTCCCTATCTCTGGGCCTCATTTTTCTCCTCTGTTAAATAAGGGAAGTGATGACCTCCATGGTCCCTTCCAGTTCTGATAGCCTATGATGTCATAGCTCTGGAGTGAAGGATTATAATGTTCATTTTATAGACAAGAAAACTGAGGGCCAGAAAGACACAAATGCTATCTGATGTCAAACAATGAAATAGGGTTCCTAAATGCCAAGGTATAGTGCTCCTTCTAATATCCAGACAGAAGAAAGATGGCACCCCTCATCATCAATAGGATGGACCCATTTGGGTTGCTTTTGCAATAGTAGGCTTGAGCTGTGTTGGATCAGTTACACACCTTTACCCACTCCCCTTCTGGGGATCCAGGATGGGTAGTCTGTGGCCATATAACTGAGTTTTCCTCTGACAAACTCACCGCCTTGTGCTGGTCCATGACCTGGTCTCACTGGGCTTCATAATAGTCCATATTAATCACTTGACTTGCTGAAGAAATACTAGCAGGACCTCCCTAAGAACAGGAAGGTTAAGGAGGAAAAATCTTTGGGGAAGAAATAGAAAGCCACTAGATAGTGAAGTGGGTAAGGTGCCAGGCTTGTAGTTAGGAAGAGTTGCCTTCTTGAGCTCAAATCTGGCCTCAGACACTTGCTAGCTGTGTGACCCTGGCCATGTCACTTAACCTTGTTTGCCTCAATTTCCTCACCTGTAAAATGAGCTGGAGAAGGAAATGGCAAACCACTTCAGTATCTTTGCTAAGAAAACTCTAAATGGGGTCATAAAGAGTCAGACACAACTGAAATGGCTGAACAACAAGAAAAGCAAGAAAGTCCAGGACTCAAAATGATCTTCGGTCACCAGGTGAGCTGAAAAGTTATAGAATATTGCAGAAAATTCTCAGGGAAGTAGGGTGAGACAGTGGAAAGAGCACCAAGCCTTCTATCCAATTCCCCTCTGTCCTTTACTTCCTGAGTGACCTTGGACAACAAATCATTTCATTTGGGCCTTAATTTCCTCATCTGTCAAATAAGGAGAGGGTTGGATCAATGACTTCTAAGGTTTCTTCCAACTCTAAGTCTGTAATTCCATGACCTTGTGATTCTTCCTTCTCCCAACCCTAACTTAGCCCAGGTTCACTCATTTTTTAGCACTAGATGAGCTTTGGGAGTTTTGAGGAGAAATGTAGTCCTGTCTGGGCTAATGAGCCCCTTGAACATCTTCTGTGCTAAGCACATGGTAGACACTGGATGAGTAAATAACCTGGTGAATGATCTGTCCTGCACACACACATACATACACACACACACACACACACACACACACACACACACACACACACACACACACAGAAGCAGGGGATGGGGGGAGAGGGAAGAGCTGGAAAGGGAAATGGTCTTACTCTTTGAAGGAGCTGTAATACTGGTTGATGAAGTCGATGGCTTGAGGCAGAAGCTCTCCCGGAGGGATCGGACTGTCTCTAGTCCCTCTTGTCATACTCTTAGGGGTCATGATTGACCCCCGGCAAGTTTTCGACTGGCAATCAATAGCCTGAAAAAAGAGTGGATGGATGATCATAGGTGCAGAGTTGGGAGGGATCTTCGTGTCCATCTGTCTGGTGTCCTCATTTTACAGATTAGGAAAATGAAACACACAGAAGTGATCCCATAGCTAAGAAGTGTCTGATCAATCAGTCAACCAATAAACATTTATTAAGCACCTATTATGTGCCAGGGATACAAAACAGAGGCAAAAGGCAGTCCCTGAGGCAGGATGGAAATGCGTCTTCTTGATTCTAGGTCCAGGGCTCTATCCACTATACCTAGAGTGTGAGAGAAGGTCAGGGAAATGACCCAAAATGTTTATGCTCTGCTTACGTTAGCACCAGGCATCTCCTTTTCCACCATACACACCTTCCTTGCTTATTCACTCCACTTTGCCTAAACCAGGCTTTCTGCTCCTTCTCTTTCATATCGCGGTTTTCTCCTTTGTTGCCCCCAGGGACAACCCTCCATTCCTACCTAGTTTGACAGCCTCCTGCTTGCCTTGTAAATATCCTCCCTCCTCCATCACAGGTTGTCCCCAGCTGATAATAATAATAGTAATAATATCTAGCATTTATATAGCATTTGAAAGTTTGCAAGGCACCTTACAAGTAATATCTCATTTGATGTTCACAACAACCCTGGGAAGGAGGCACTATTGTTATTGCCATTTTACAGATGAAGAAACTGAGGCAGACTCTGGTTAAGTGACTTGTCCATGGCCTCACACAGCTAGGAAGTGTCTTAGGCTGGATTTTGAACTCAGGTCCAGAACTCTGCCCACTGCAACCCAGCTGCTACAGCTAAAAAAATGCAAAGCGCTGTCACCTTTATCCACTCTGGGCCCTTGAGACACAACATGATATAGTAGAAAGGGTGCTGGTTCAAATCCCAGCTATTCCACTTACTACCTGTGTGACCTCAGGCAGACCATTTAACTTATCTGAGCCTCAGTTTCCTCATCTGTAAGGTAAGGGGATTGTACTAGGGACCTCTGAAGTTCCTTTGAGTTTTAGAGCTAGGGTCCTTGTATGGTTGGTCACCCAATCTGTCCTCCTGTACAGCCTCCGGCTCAGAATAGACATGACCCCACTCCTTATTTAGTGCCTCCAGCTGAACTGCTTTCTCATTTTCAAACGGTCACGTTGGAGCCCCCACAATTTCCTTCTTGCTTCCTGGCTTGTTTGTAAACGGGGCATCCAGAGGACCCTGAAGGGTGCTTTAAAGTAAACTTCAGTAGGAATGAAAATGGACTGGGAAGAAAAAAATCTTTGAATGCAATCCAATAACGTGGAGATTCTCTCAAGCTCTGGATTAGCCATCCTCTATCTGAACAGTTTCTTAAGATATGCTAATTAACATTTGCTTCATCTTCTAACTGATTATGGGGTGTAATTATCTATTGATATTCTGGGTGTTTGTGACAGGTCAAATGACAGGAGGCCGTAAGCTCCTGAAGGTCAAGGACTGTATCTGTTTTGCTGCCTTCAGGGGGGTAGCAAGCACAGGGTATGGAACCCTCCTCCAGTCCCTTTTGAGAAGGATGGTTTTAGAGCCTTGGGCTACTCACTCACCAATTTGGCTTTGTGGTGTAGAGTGTCTTGGAATGTCATTCCATTGCCCCAGTTTTTAATCCTCACATGCCTTGGACAGCCTGATAGAGCATGGGTCCCCTTGACTTGGGGCTCAGGCGTCTTCTAGATAGGAGGAAACAAGGTGACAGGTTAGTCAGGGTTTGCTAAGTATATTCCATCTAATGACAAGGTCCAAGTCTCCTGGACTTGTGGGATCAACTAGCACCTAATACTAAGCTTTACATAGAAGATAGTCAATGACTATTAATTAAACCAATGAATAAATTTCAAGAAACCCTGTCCCCTTACTGACAGGTCTTGATAGGGATAGAGGAAGCAGACAGAGCGGGATCAAGTTTCATGTGTCATCTTCTCTTCTGTTGAAACTTTAGGCCGCCTGTACTGAGTCACAATTAAGAGCTCTGAATCCTTGGGACCCCGAGTGGCCATACCAAATGCTTCTTCATTCCATGATCTCTAGTAACACAGACTAAAGAAATTGACCTAACAGCCAATGTGGCTTAGTACTGAAACTAGAACTGAGGAAGACATTCTAAGCTCCTTCCCCAGGGGACTTAATGGACTGTTTCCCTATACTCTGTACCATGTTTTGGGAGTGCCAAGATCAAATGTACTTAGTGGGATGTTTTAGCAAAAGAGATGGATGTGGATGGCTACCCTCAAATCCAGAGATGCTATATCTAGCACCCCAAAGGGCATGTTATTGTGGTCCATGAGTCCCTAGAGTAAAGGATCAGGTGTGAGAGGATGGTCTATACCCTGGACCGGGAATAAGGGTTGGGACCTCCTCCACTGACCTTTGTCTCCACCACAGCTGATTGTCGTTGCTCATTCCAGGGTTTGCTCAGAGTGTGAGGCTTAACATCATCCTCTGTCAGTGGACTGTGAAAGCAATGATAGTAATAATAATGATGACAGCAACAATAACAATAATTAGGATAATAATAATTATAATAATAATTGGAGCTGACATTTATATAGTGCTTTACAAAGTATCATCTCAACTCCCTAAGTGCAAGAATTAGCACCATCACTTTACCAATGAGGAAAGTGAAATTTAGTGAGATGGTGACTTGGACGATGTTAGCACCAGGACATTGAGGAATCCAGGCAGCTAGATGGCACTGTAGCCAAAGGGCTGGAGATAGGAAAACCTGAGTTTAAACCCTGTCTCACTTAGTCACTTACTAGCTGTGTGACCTTGAGCAAGTCACTTAACCTCTGCTGGCTTCCAGTTCCTCATCTGTGAAATATCTGTTTCCTTGTCTGTAAAATGAATGGGTTGGACTAGCGCGTCCCCTTCATCGCTAAATCTATCATCCTAGAATCTAGGTCTTTCTCATTCTGGGTCCAGTGTTTTCTGCTGCTAGGCAGGATAATCTAAGAATCTCACTCTGTCAGAGCTGGAAGGGAACTTGGAGGTCATTGGGTCCAATCTCTTATTTTACAAGGGAGAAGACAGATCCAGAGAGGGAAAGTGACTTATGTGCCTTAGTAGCTTAGATGGCGAGCTAGCTGGGGCTGGTGCGGACGACTGCTGAGGTCCCTTCCAGCTCTAAATCTGTGATCCTGAGGTCTGGCCCAACCCTTTCATATTACAGATGGGGAAACTGAGCCCCAGAGAGATTAAGCAATTTGCCCAGCTGCTGGCTTGCGGTAGAGCTGAGTCTCAGTCAATAGTCAATAAACATTTATTAAATTTCTACTGTGCCCAGCACTGTGCTAAGTACTGGGGATATAAATACTAAAAAAGAAGAAAGACAGTCCCCTGCCCTCAAGGAGCTTATACTCTAATGGGATTTCATTCTTCTCTGCTACAAAACTCCAGCTCTACTTTAATATATAAAAGGGGCAAGGGGGAGAGAACCAAACCCAGTGGATAAAAATGGTAACCGCAAAGTACCAAGAAGCATAGTGGAGGAAGAAGTCTCACAACTCTGACTCGAAAGTCAAAGCACTGGGGTTCAAATTCTACCTCTGATTCTCACTTCATGGGTTACCTTAGATGAGTCACTTCATTTTCCCTGAGTCTCAGTTTCCTCATCTGTAAAATGAGTGGATTGAAATAGATGTTCTCTGAAGCCCTTTCCAGATCTTAAAGTCTATAATCCTGTGAGATCTAGACTTTGCATGGTCCATCCTCTATTATTGTGATTAGTTAAGAGCTGCCTCTATTTACCCAATTCATTGTGGAAGAGAATTCTCTATTTGTCTGCACAGTTGACTGTTCTATGAAACTCACCTTAAAAGTTTCAAAATCACAAGCATCAACCAAAAGTTGAGTTTGAACAGGGATGGCATATGTAAGAACATGTAAGAACACATTTCTTATTAGTTAAAATGACAACAATAGTAATAATAGTAATAATAACCCAATGACATCCTACAATGCCTCATCATGGTGTGGAGATGACCTTTACTTCTCAAAGGCTATAATATCAATAATAATATTTCTTACCTCAGTATTTCAAGGATCTGTGATTTTGTTGGCACATATGGGCACCCTAACCACCAACGTAATTTGCAACCTCTCAGTGACTTAGTAAACAATCTTAGCAAGTTGCCACGGCTAAAAATACATCACCCTGGGGGAAGAGCTCAGAACCTAGCTAAAATGGCCTTCAGATGACAGGCAGTCTAGGAGTAGCTATGCAGCAGAAGCCTTTCCAGCATGCTACAACTCCAGGTGGGGCTCAGGCTGAGCTTAAAGACATTGAGAACTCTCAGTTACCTCCATACCAATGGGAGGAAGTGTGGAGTGGTGGAAAAAGTATTAGACTTGGAATCAAAGGACCTGGACTCAAATTCCAGCTCTGCCACTTAGCTGTGAAAGAGGCAAGGCAAAAAAGAGGGGAAAGGAATCAAACCCAATGGACAGAAACATCAATCACAGAGCTCCAAGTGACAGAATGGAGAGTGAATGCTAACTCTGGAGTCAGAGGACCCAGGTTCAAATCCTGTCTGTCTTTTTATATATACATATACACACATATACATGTATATGCATGTACACACATATACATATTATATGTGTGTGTATTATGTATATTTCATATATGTTTGTGTATTATATAGAGAGATATATTCTTGTCTTTTCCATTAAAACGGAATAGCTTCTTGAAGTATGAGACATGTAGGATATATTTCCATATTTGTATCTGAATCCTTAAGCACACTAGGCATTTAATAAATTCTTATTGACTGATTGGATGATTTATGAAGTTCATGGGGGGAATATCAGGGGCTGTGAACAATCTGGTGAGAGAGAACCTAGACCAATGAAGTCAGAGACCTTTGGAAGTATCAGAATAATCACAATAATATTAACTGATATTTAGCAATCAATCAGTCAGTTAGATGAGGGGTTCATAACTTGGGGATCCATGAACTTGTTTTTTCTTTTTGAACATTTTGATCACTTTATTGCAATGCAATCATCTTCCTTTGTAATCCTATGTATTTTATGGTATAGGTTTAAAAACTTGATTCTGAGAAGGGGTCCATAGGATTCCCCAGGCTGCTGGCCAAGGTGTCCATAGCACACAAAAAGTTAAGGAGCCCAGATTTATATAGTGAAATACAATTTATGAATTCCTCCTCCCTAGGAAATCTAAATTGTCTGGTCTTAATCGGTGTTTTCCCCCATCTTTTTCAAAGAAGGAAATAAAATTAATATGGCATGACCTATTTTTTTAAATGGATATAAATTTTAAAACTTTTATTTATTTTATTTTTGTTTTATTCCATAACTTAAAAATAAAATAATTTTTAAAAATTGATATATTTTGTTTTTAATGTCATATTGATTTTGGAAAATCCTTCTTCCTCTCCTTTACTTTCCTTTGAATAAAAGTTTTTTTTTAAAGGAAAGAAAAAAAGAACAATTCTATAAAACCAACCAGCACACATTGATTGAGGCTGATTGTGTAGAAAATATTGCACACCCATCATCTCCCACCTGGGCAATAAAGGGAGGCAGGCAGGCAGGCAGGGAGGTGCGTTTTCTTATCTCTCCTCTGAGCCAAGCTTGACCCCCACCATTGTATGGCACTCAATTTCCCTCGGTCATTCTTTCTGTTTATTATGTTACTGTAATCATTTTGTCTTCTGTCCTGATTTTGCTTCCTTCCCTTCAAATCACTTCACCTACATCTGCTGGTGTTCTTCGGGATTCCTCATACACACTAACCTGTCTTTTCAACAAGATTGTAAGAGGTTCTGAGGTTAGAAATGTTACATCGTTTGAGTTTTTGAATGGAAGCCTTCCTTTGGAGAAGGGAAAGGAAAGTCAGCGTGATCTGAAATCTTTGTGGATGTGCTCGGTTTGGGTTCGGGATTTCAGGTTAGCTTTCTCAGCAAAGGTAGCTATCGGTGAGGTAGGGAATAAAGAAAACCTTAGTTCTAATCTTGCCTCTGAAACTTAGTAGCTGTGAGACTCCACCCCCTCTGTGTTTCAGGCAATTCTAGCGAGTAAATTACAGACTTGTTGCAATCTGTGGTGGCAGAGGTGAATTCTTGCCATAGGCGGTATCCTGGCCCACACAGCAAGAGGCTGTCATACTACTGTAGCCTCTTTGTAGGTGTTACCGTATTACATACAAGAATATCAAAGGCTTAGCTAACGATCTCTGGTGGGTATTTAAAGGCCTTCATGACCTGGCCCCAGCCAACTGTTCCAACTTGATTATAAATGACTCTGTGCACTGCACGGTCCAGCCAAATTGGCCTAATTCTTGCTGTTCCTCCCACAGAGCACTCCTCCCCATCTCTGGGCTCTGTATAGGCTGTGCCTCTTAGAATTTCTGGCTTGCTTTACCAGGCTGTCAGTAACATACAAGCGATCATTTGGGACATAGCATGGCACAATGAATGAGAATTGACTCTAATGTCTGAGGGCTTGGATTCGAATCCCACCTCAGACGTTTACTGCCTTTGTGTCATCTTTCAGTAGGATCCAGGTGTGCGCCCACATAAGAAAAGCTGACCAGAGATCAGATAGATACATTAGGAGATGATTTGTCATTCATCAGTCTTCTTCTTCTTCTTCTTCTTCTTCTTCTTTTTTTTTAGGCAATTGAGGTTAAGTGACTTGCCCAGGGTCACACAGCTTGTAAGTGTGAAGTGTTTGGTCTGAGGCCAGATTTGAACTCAGGTCCTCCTGTCTTCAGGGCCGGTGCTCTATCCACTGCACCACCTAGCTGCCCCTCTTCTTTTCTTTAATAATGATTCATTCATGAGGCAGCTAGGTGGCGCAGTGGATCGAGCTCTGGCTTTGGAGTCAGGAGGACCTGAGTTCAAATCCAGCCTCAGACACTTGACATTTACTAGCTGTGTGACCCTGGGCAAGTCCTTAACCCCGATTGCCTCACCAAAAAACAACAACAACAAAAAAGACTCATTTCCAAAATGCTTTAGGGTTTGCACAGTGTCTGTCTTGTAACAACTCAGAGGTGAGATGGGTATCCCCATTATACAGATGTGGAAAATGAGGCTCAAAGAAATGAAGAGACTTGCCCAGTCACACAATTAGTCTGCAGTAGGATTTGAACCCTGGCTTCCAAGTATAACCCTCTATTTCTTATACCATGCATTCCAAAGGGGTGAGGGTGGGAGAAGAACATCAATAAAGCTCTTAGGTGGCACAATACAGAGATCACCGGACTTAGAGTCAGGAAGATAAGAATTCAAATCCAACTTCAGATGTTTACTAGCTAGGTGATCCTGAGCAAGTCACTCACCTTTTCTTCTACTTCAGTTTCTTCATCTGTAAAATGGGGATAATAATATCACCTCCCTCTTAGGGTTGTGGAAGAGGAAGATGAACAGGCGTACTATGAGTTTGGGGGATAAAGAAACTTTTGAAGCCAAAGAAAGAGAGGCATAGGGTTGTGCCCATAGAAACCCTCGGGCTGTATTTCATTCCCCTCCTTACTACAATCAGAGGTTGTCGGCCAATTCTATCTTGAAGGATGCCTTGACTATCTGTTATTGTCACTCAGTTGTGTCTGACTTTCTATGACCCTATTTGGGGTTTGCTTGGCACAGATGCTGGAGTGGTTTGCCATTTCCTTCTCCAGCTCATTTGACAGATGAGGAAACTGAGGCAAACAGGGTGAAGTGACTTGCCCAGGGTCACACAGCTAGTAAGTGTCTGAGGTCGGATTTGACCTCAGGTTTTCCTGACTCCAGGGCTGGAGCTCTATCCACTGTACCACCAAGCTAGATAACAAACTACTGAGAAGGCAGCTGTGAATTTTACTCAAGCCGCAGATCCCAATCTGCATGCTAAGAAGATGAGTCTGCTACTAGCCCAAATAGTCTCTCTCATCTTTCTAATAATTAATCTTTTTTTTTCAGGTTTGCTACACCGGTTACTTGAACCCCAGACAGCAGATATAGTCGGTGGATGAGATTCTCCCCACCCCTGCTGGACCCTCCAGGAACCCAGGAGGAGAAAACTCCCACAATAGGAACAAAAGAGGTTGTATGTGTGTATAAATGCTAGCTATCAAAAGTAACAAAGCGCACAGAAGACAGCAAAGCATTCAGAGGGAGATGCAAACAGGGCAATGTTACTGCTACATTGGAAATGCAGCATACCTTGGCAAGACGTACTACACAGAGTAGATGTTCATGGGACTGTAAACAATCTTTTTAGTTCTCTGCAGTTTGAAATATTTGTGCTTGTTGTATTAAGTTTATTATTAAAATGAAATTTAAAAGTTTTAAAACAGTAAGCTTCTCTATTGTATTTAAAATGCAGTGCAATTTACAAAAAAAAATCAATCTTGATTCATCAGTCAGGGAAAGGTAGAATGGAGATAAAGGCACCTGTTACCTAACTGCTCTTTGCATGCATACTAAACATTCATACAAATATACCTATACAAATGCCTCATGGGCAGCTAAGCAGCACAGTGGAGAGCGGGCTGACCTGGAGTCAGGAAGACCTGAGTCCAAATATGGCTTCAGACACTTACTAGCCGTGTGACCCTGGGCAAGTTACTTACTCCTGTTTGCCTCAGTTTCCTCACTTGTCAATTGAACTACAGAAGATAATGGCAAACCATTCCAATATCTGTGCCAAGAAAACTCCAAATGGGGTCACAGAGAGTTAGACACGGATGAAACAATTGAATAACAAATATCTCATCCTTTATGTAGGGAGATGGCTTTCCTGACCCTCTAGCTAAGTTCTGACCAGCAGCGGGGATGGATTTGCTCAGCGCCATCCACAGACAAATCTTGACTAAGCCTTTCACGACTCAGAAACAGCTGGCCTCAAGGGTATTGTCTATGATCTTGAAAACAAGTTTTCATCCATGAGAAAGTGTTTGTCCACCAGACCAGAGCAGTGATCTTGACTTTATTAGCATCTATCACCAAGAAATGGATCAAATAGGACATGGGCACGTAACTAGCACCCATCTATAGATGTATGTCAAACCCTTCTATGAATGAAATGCACCTAATTTTTGCAGTCTCCTTTGCTTTTTGGACTGTGCCTCACCTAGTGAGATTACTTTTCACCACACTAAAAAAACTTCAGGATGCTGAAATGATTTCATCTCTGATCAAGCTTGTATCCACAATCACACACACATGTGAGAGAGCTCTGGGTGACTACCACGATAGACTTGATCTTGAAAAAAGAAAAATGTAAACTCTTGGGTTCAAATCCTACTTCAAAAACGTACCTTTGTGACTCTGGGCAAATCACTTAATCTCTCTGGGCCTCATGTTTTAAAATTCATAAATTTATAGGATTGTAAAGGAAATAAATTATTTTGAAATAAAGATGTCATTTTTTCCTAAGTTGATGGATGCTGAGTCCAGAACCCTTACTTAAAGGTAGCCCATCCCTTTATTGTTGGAGTTCCAACCTAATCAATTGATTAAGTTGTTACTTTGGGTAAGTCACTGTACTTTTCTAAGCGTCAGCTTTTGCTCCTAAAAGCAAGAGGGCTCAGGCTGGATGACCTCTAAGCTTCCTCCCAGCTTTAACAATCTCAAGTCCTTTTCTAGAATATCTATGCCAGCACATGCCCTTTTCCCTGTCCATTCCAGATCTGAGACTCTGAGCAGCTCAGTGGTAGCTGGTAGGCTCCCCAGAGACTGACCCCGGAGTCTGGAAAGTACCTGGATCCATTTGGACAGCACACAGGATGGCTCCCAAAGATCCTTTTAATCAGCAGGAACATCCTTGGCATGGCACAGGCAGAGCTGACCCCTTCCCTCATGGTCCCTTGTGACTTCAGGAAACTGGGCTGGAGCAGAGCAGCTAAACTTGGCTCGGGAGCACAATGCTTTGCTCTTGTTCTGGGGGGCCCCTCCTTTTCTCTGGTTTTAAAGCCCTCTCTGTAGGCCCCCTCCTCTTTCCCGGGGGTGTGGAGGGAGTGGCCGGAGCAGGAGGAGTGGACCGAGACCAAAGGACTGCCTGATTTAACTCAACATTACCCAGGAGGGAGGAGAATGCAGCTGTGTGGGGCTGACATTTGCACCCTCAGCTGCCCTGGAAAATCTCAGATGCTAATTAGTGCCAGTGTGTTCCTTGGCAATCTTAAGGAGAAAAGTTTATCTGAGAGGAGGCTAGACTGACCTGGCCGAGAGCACAGAACTGCTCATTCATTCTCCCTCTGAATGGAATACAGCGGTAATAAGAGATCTGCTGTTGGGAGAGAGGTGGGAGAATCAGCGATCTAGAGCTGAAAAGGAGGCAGGGGAATCCTGGATCTAGAGCTAGGAAGGAAGCAGAGGATCATCGATCTAGAGCTGGGAGGGAGACCGAAGATCGAAGATCTAGAGGCGAGAGGGAGGCAGGGGGAGCAGGGATCCAGACCTGGACGGGAGTCGGGGAATGGTTCTAGAACTGGGAGGGAGGCAAAGGATTGTAGATTCAGAGCTCGAGAAAGGAGGCAGGCAAATCGTTGTTCTATAGCTAGGAGGGAGGCAGAGGATCGCTGATCTAGAGCTGGGAAGAAGGCAGAATGATCACAGATCTAGAGCTGGGGGGGCGGCTTACCTTAAAATCCACCTGGTTCAACCCTTCCCCCCTCTCAATTAACAGATGACTAAACTGAGGCCTGGAGAGCTTCAGGGACTTGGCCACTATCTTCCATGTAGCAAGGGACAGAGTCAGGATTTGAAACCAGGTCCTCTGACTCCAGAGCCAGAATTTTGCACATAGTAGGTGTTTGTTGAAGTTTTAAGAAGGCAAATCTTCTGAAAAGGTTTGTACCAGAAAGGGAAGTAATCTGGGGTATCAATAACAGATAATTTTGTTTCAAATCCCACTTCTCTCTCTTTAATCTTGGACAAGTCACTCCCCACTCTGGCCTGTGAAGTGTGGGGACTCAACTCAATCTAATATCCCTTCCGTTCTTTAATCCATGATCCTGTGACTTTAAAGCTCACCCACTCAAACCCTTCACCCGAGGCCCAGAAAAGTTAAATGATTTCCCTAAGGTCATCCAGATAGAAAGTATCAGAGCCTAGAATCAAACCAGGAAGGTCTTCAGACTCCAAATCTATTAGCCTTTCCACTACAGCAAGCTGTCTTTCCCCAACATGAAACCTTCTAAGGCTTTGTTCTCTCTCTTCAGATAAAAACTATCCCAGGAAGGAAATCTGATGTCTGGGAACTACTGCAGACAACCTGAAGTACATTATGGAGGGACCCTGGAGGGTTTAAATCAAGTATGTGATCGTATGAAAGGCACTAAGCTGGGAGTTAGAGGACCGGGTTGCTAATTTCAGCTCTACCATGAACTACCCACATACCTTTGGGCATAACTTTACTCCTTTGTAAAATGGGTATGTTTGGACTAGCTGATGTCCAAGGTCTCTTTTAAAAAACTCCAACATTCTAGGGTTCTTTAAATTCATGGGCTGCTCCAGAGAGGGATGGACAAGTTCAGAAACAAACTACCTTTTCTCAGAGCAGTCACTCAGACCTTCCCACCCACAGGGACTCTCCCAGTAGGGAATTGGGTAATGTTTCCTGTTTGCCCTCTACAGTGGGCCAGAGTATCAAAAAGAGGCTGAAGTGCCCTCAAAACTTTCTTTTTTTCAGCTCCAAGATCTGTCCAGTCAGCTTTATGGAGACCACCCTACTCAGCCTTCTGCCCCCTCCCCCTCCTCCATCCCACTACACCTAAGGAAACAGCCCTGATCAGTGGAAGGAGTGGGGAAGGGTCAAGAACATTTGAAGTCAGGAGACCCATGTTGTAAATGTGACCCTGATGCTGATTGACCAAGCCATTAGACCTTGGACAAGTCACCTCACTGCTCTGAGCCTCAGTTTTCTCATCTACAGAATGGGGATACCTCACAGGGTTGATGGAAAGAAAGAGCTTTCTGAACCTTATGTCACTGTGTTGATCAATGACCCTGCTTTGTTTAAGTATTTTAAGCCAGCTAGGTGGCACAGTGGATAGAGTCCTGGGTCTGGTGTCAGAAAAATCTGAGTTCAAATCCAGGCTCAGACAGTTACTAGCTATGTGACTCTAAACAAATCACTTCTGTCACCTCAGTTTCCTTAATTGTAAAATGGGAATAATAATAGCACCTCTACTTCCTGAGGTGGTTGTCTCAAATAAGATCACATTTGTAAAGGATCTGGCATATAGTAGGTCCTTAATAAATTCTTGGTTTTTTTTCCCTTCCTTCCTTCCTTGAAGATAAGCATAAAGTCAGGCAATGGAGAAGGGAATGAACTTGAGTACCATGGAATTCTGGGAAATATCTTCTTCCCAGAAAGTCCATGAAGTACAAATGCCCTTCAGCAAATAGAAGCAGGTGCCTAGAGTCTAGGGGAAAGTTGAAGTCTGGAGTCATAAAGCTGAATCATCAGCAAATATGTGACAATTTCAGACTAATCAGGAAACCAGGAAGAAAACAAAAGGGAAATCTTACCTAAGGGATTTGATGCTGGCTTTGCCTGTGTTGTTATTGATATCTCTGTCCTCTTCGATGATGTGTTGAGAGCTTTTGGTCTGGAACAAGAATGCCCAGGGGCAGGCCATTTTTGAGACTGGAGCAAAAGTTTGTCTGCTTCTAAGTCTTCTTGTTGGCTCTCTACACTCAGGTAGGAGATGGCAGAGCTGAAGAAGGGAAAGGAGACTTTAGCACAAGGTGGAGGAAGGGTTCATGGATGGTTCCAATACTTCCTAGGACCATGGGTTTAGAGCCAGAAAGGATAGGAATAGCTGACATTTATTTATTATTGTAAGGTTTACAATGTATGTTAACTCATTTGATCCTTATAACAACCTTGTGAGATAGGTATGATTATCCTCATTTTACAAACTTTGGGTGAGACATACTAAGTGACTAATGTAGAGTCACACAGCTAGGCAGAATTTGAACTCAGGCCTTCCTGACTCCACACCCAACACTCTATCCACTAAAGTGCCTGGCTGCCTAGAAATACCCTTAGAGGGAATTCAGGCACACCCTTTATTTTATAGATGAGGCAACTGAAGCCCAGGGTGGGAAAGTGATTTGCCCAGGGTCACAAAGGCAGCAAGTGATGGAGTCGGGGTTCAAATCTAGATCCTCTGACTTTAACTCTGTCAATCCTTCAATTATACCACTGTTCATAAAATGCCATTTTCCTCCCAAATGCCTAAGGAAGTCATATTATAATTAATTTTTTTTTCTTAAGCTTTTGTCAAATAGTCATTTTTTCTTTTTTAAGACTGGATCTCCTTATTTCGCCAAGGCTGGTAGTACAGTAGCCACTCACGGGGCCAACCCTAGTGCTGATGGGCTGAGAAGCTTTGACAAGCTCCATTTCCAACCTGGGCTGGTCTTCTCCCTCTTAGACAGTCTGCTGGTCCCTGTTCCCGGGAGTTTGCCATATTGGTACTGAACTTAGTAAGGACACCCGGTTGGCTTTCTCCCTACTTTAGCTCTAAACTTTCTGAGCTCATATGATTAACCATCCTCAGCTTCCCTGGTAGCAGGAATTAGAGGCATATGCCACCACACCTGATTCACAAAGACTCCTCGAAGATTACGCCAATGTTGGGAACCTGAGGTCATGAAGACCTAAGCTTAAGGTAAAACAACCAATTGAAATTAAAATACTGGAAGACAAGTATCATACTGACAAAAAAAAAGTGAAATATTGTTGTTACCAAAATAAGATTTTTTGGGTGGGTATAGACCTATGATTTCTATCAGTGTGATGGAACTCCAAGTGTGGAAATCCCCTCTGCTGATACAGAAGGGCAACTCGTCTGTAACTATAAGTTGCATGTATGAGTTGGTTGAAAAATTGGTGAGTTTTTGCATAATTAATCAGAGAACAACAAAACTGGAAATATGAGAGGTTATCTAGTCCAACTCATAATTAAGGACAAATTAAGAACATGCCAAATGAATGGCTGTCAAGAATTTTCTCAAAGAGCTCCACTGAGGGGAACTCACTACCACCTGAGGTAGCCCATTCCTCTTTTGGTTAACTCTAATGGTTAGAGAGTCTTGAGATGAAGAGCACATAATCTGAAGGCAGATGGCCTGGGTTTGAATTTCAGCTCTGGTGCTTCCTTTCTGTAAGATCTTGGGCAAATCTCTTGACCTCAGTTTCCTCATCTGAACAATCATGGAGTTGTGTTCAATGGCTTCTAAGGTCCCTTCCAGCTCTGGATCTATGATCCTAAAATAATAGTCACCTGTTTTCAGCTACATCTTACCAATACCACAATGATTGTTAGACTTGTTAACTAATGCCAGTTTTAGTCTCCTTCCTTCCTTTCAGGAATTTTCATTTTTCAGTCAACCTTGGTAATCATTACCTCCTGTTTCCATTTAAATTTATGGAGGTTTGGTGGGGGGGGGAGGTCCTTTGGAAGAGAAAGTAGTGAAAAGAGAGCTGGATTTAGGTTTGAAACAAAAGACTTTGGTTCAAATTTCAGTTCTGTTACTTACTATCAGAGAGACCCTAGGCAAGTCACTAAATCTCTTGGTTTCCTTCTCTGTAGAATGAGATTAAATTGCATTAGATGACCTTAAAGCTGCCTTCCATCTCTTAGATGCTGGTTCTACAATCCCATGAAACTCCTAAACTCTCAGAATTGTGTCTTTAAAAAAGAATCAAATAAAATGAACTGATGCAGAGTGAAGTAAACAGAACCAGGAAAACATTGTAAACAGTAACAGCAACGTTGTATGATGAACAACTGTGAATGACTTAGCTATTCTCAGCAATACAATGGTCCAAGACAATCTCAAAGGATCGTGATGAAAAATGCTGTCTGCCTCCAGAGAAAGAACTGATGGTGTCTGGTTGTAGACTG